CCCGGATGAGGTCAAAGTCCTGGCAAGTCGTCAGTGTCTCGTTTTCGCAGCAAACAATAAGCTTTCGGCCGAGTACTTACATAGCTGGCTTGAAGCAAGGCAAAAAGGTAGTACGTCGCCCTCTCAATAACAATGGGATGGTAGTTGTTGAAGTCGCGCACAATGGTGTGGATAGCTCCAATGACCCGCTTGCCCAGCAGCTCGATGGTCTCGCGGTCACGAAGAGCCAACACTGTGCAGTACTCAATGACATAGACAAGAGTCGGGTCATAGACAGCCGTATTCTGACGCGCCTTCTGGCCGTTTGTCGGAGAGGAGGGGGGGATGTTTTCTGCCTTCACAGTCATAACCGCCCCTTCGGGTCCGTTGTCATCAGGGATCTGAGCAAGCAGCGCATCCACAAGCGCCTCAAGGTCCTGCGGTGGAAGTGTCCTGAGAAGTAGTGTTAGTTGCAGTTTTGCCAGGGTAAGCTTCGATGCACTAACGAGATGTTGGCAAAAACATCGCCAATGTGGCACTGATTGACGCAGTCAACGGTACAAAGGGTGCTCTCCAGCTCTTCATCCGACGGCTCAGGCGGGTCGTCCGCCGCATAGCTCGAGATGTACGAGGTGAAAGCGGAGAAAAAGCTGGTTTCGTTCTGTTTCTGCCGGTCGATTACGTTGGAGGGGCTCTGCAGCGGTATCGCTGGCAAAGCAAGTCGGTCTGGTTCCGTCGAGAAGAAGGGCGGTATTAGTGAATTAACAAATAGGTTGAGCCATATCCGGACAATCTGGTTATGATTAGCATCAAAATACTTCCCTCACTGAGCCAGGAACACTCACATATTTCCAGCTATTCCGAATGATATGCTCCGAACCCGTCACCACGCGGAACAGGACAAGCGTAGCCAGCTGCGGCCGAACGTCTCTACCGAACTTGACCGCCAGCTCGCTCACCATGACGCTGTTCTCGCCGACTTGAACCTCGGTGTTGAGTTGTGTGTTGGACAGCGACTCGCTGCTCAGAGTCGAGATCAAGCTCAGGCGGTAGACGAGCTCATCCAACGCCTCTGAATTGCCGTACTTGGTAGCAATCCGCGCGCACTCATCGAAGCCGGTGATAACCCTGGCATACACCGTGTCGTCGGTTGCCGACATGAAGACAAAGAACAGGCAAGAAATGATGGCATTCCACGTCGTGTTGAAAATATCGGCGTCATAAATGTTGGTGTCACAGAGGACCAGCGGGCCAGCCGACTCCGTCTTGAGAAGGAGCTCCTTCCATGCGTAGTCAAACCCATGTTGATTATCGTGCTCTTCAGGCAAAATGATCTCGTTGGACTTGATGGCATCATATATGTCTTGCAAGTATTCGGGTGCGAAATCCTTGCCGCCGTTCTGCCCGCGCAGGTTGCGGGCAAAGTCTGTATAAGTCATGCGAGCATGCCCCCTAAAGTTGGGGTTGTGCTGATCCGTGTTGAGCATGATGATCGCGTACGTGAGAATGTAGACGGCGTCCTTATCTGCCACGTCTTCAGGAGTACTACCGGCGCAGTACTTTTCTGCGAAGGAGGTGACGATGCGCTCGATTAGCTGTGCCTCACCAGGCAAACGGAAGGTTTCCAAGAGAACTCGCAGCGCCTCATCGACACGCTTGCCGGTGAAATCCATCATACCAATGAAGTGGTCCAGGATCGCCTCATTTCCTCTTTTTGAGATGAACTCGCCGAGCATCTTCTTATTAACCCTGGAAGTCCCCTTCAGAAACGTCGCAACGCACAGAGGGTCAGTATCGCTGGCGATAATCCCTTTATCTTTCAGGTAGGCCAAGCCTCCCTTGGGGTTCTCATTAAACTTGTTCGTCCCCTTGATGATCACCTTTTTCCTCGCCCGTCTTTCCCTCAGTTCTTCTGGGTCGGGAAGACCCTCCGTTTCCGGCGCCTGATCCAGCCTCTCGGCAATATACTGGATAAAACGAAGAAGCGCATCCAGACACAGCGGTGGAACACTAGTGGTGCTCCACGTTGCCGAATCTGGGAGAGCATTTCTTGCTAGCAGTCCGATCAGGTCCTCACAGAGGTCCACCCGATCTTCATCGCAGTCGTAGTTGACAAACAGTTCAACCATGAAGCTTGGCATTCGTACAAGAACACCAATATTTTCCACCATGGCCTGTCTGGCATCTGGTTTTCGCGCGCCTCCTTCGAGGCCCAGTTTCTGGCGGTCCTTGACTGGAACAGGCGTCGACCGGCCACTACCGGCCTGTGATGGTGGCGGCTTGACAAGCTTGGGTGCCTGAGGAATACCCGAATAGAGACTTGGGTCGATGCCAGGTTCCCGAGGGATCTCAACGGCTGGATGTAGGCAAGCGACCAAGTATGACAGATACAACTCTTGTTGGAGCTTGAGAACCCCCCTGCAGGTTGAGAGCAGAGTACCAGCAACAACCAGCGCCTCTTGCAAGACAGCCATGTTATCCGACCGTACGAGCTGGAAAAGGTAGGAGCACAGCTGGTCCTCTGCAATGGTGGCGAGCGCGGGATGTCTGGCAATGGATGGACCAGCAACCTCAAGAGCAACATGGATGATGCGGAGCGCCATGACCCGCATCTGATCAGGATGCTTACGGTCATGGGGGTTGAGAAAGCTCACGAGAACGCGAAACAGTTCCCTAACGGATGGTAGTGAGTAAGGGCGGAGATCAATGGACGCAGTGCTCCCAGTTCCCGAGCTGGTGCTGCTGCGACGAGCGTCTGCTGCACTCCCAGTGCTGCTGCGATCCCCATTTTCCGTCTCAACAGCTGTTGAAGGCCGTGGATCAGCAGAAGACGTAGCCGTTTCCGGCCTTTCGTTCCCCTGCGCTGCTAGCAGTTCAGTAGCCACTGGAGTGACCGGGACGTCCGTTCCGTTGGCGACAGGGTCCAGCTTCACACTGTCCATGTCGCCGCTGGTCTGCCGGTCTAGTGCCTCGCTCTCCTCGCCAGCTTCCACCTCCAAGTGCTTCAGATCCTCAAAGATGATCTGACACATGCGAACCATAGACGCTTCCGCCGTCTGCCTCAACACCGCCGAGAACCTCGACCGGGAGCAGATGGTTAGACCCCGGCCCATCATGTCGCAGACGCTCTCGTCGCTCAGAATGTCGCCACCAGGCCCAGCCAGCATGTTCTCCATCAAGTGTAATATCATGAGCAAGACAACCTCCTCTTGCGCCGAGTCGCTAATGTCGAACTGGCAGTGGGTGATGGCTGCAGAGAGAGACTGCATGGCCAGGGCGAACCGAGGAGATTGGGGCGCGATGAAGCCATAGGACAGAAACTTTTGGATAGCACGGAGCGCAAGAATCGTGATCGGAGCGGCGGTGCCCTTGGCTTGTATAATCTGGAGGAACGGGTAGAGTAGGACCAGGGCATCAAACTGGTGGATATCTGCGAGTATGCGATTAGCCCAAAAGTTTAATCATGGGAGGCCTTTTTGCCTTTCCATTGACATGACGCGAGCAACAGCGTCGTCTGTATAGCTACCTTTGACGCCCGTCAACTCCTGTCGAAGCCTTCCGAAGCCTGATATCAGCGGATTGTCCAATATGCTCTTCCCTTTCTTCCCCCTTAAGCCCCATCGGTTGGTAGCCAAGTCACTGGAGTCATCAGCGGCCGAGGACCCAGCCATCTTCTTCTGATCGCGACGCAGAGCCGGGCCTGAAGGGGGAACAAGCTGGATCAGGTTCGGGCTGCCCCCCAAGATGGCTGACACGGACGAATGCGGCGAGCGGGCATGTTTCTGAATAGCGGACGTGATCGCAATACACTCGGATATGACGAGGGAGACCGGGTCGACTGCCACGGAGACAGGGCGGCTGCGGTATTGCATGCGCGACGACGAGAACATCGGGCCTTTGCGGGAGACGGAGATCGGCGTGCCGGGTGCTTGTGCTGCTGCTAAGACAGCCGAGTCCGCGAGGGCAGCTGGGTGGTCACCCGCATCTCGACTCATGCTGCGACTGCCGGTCTTTCTTTTGGCGTACTATTTGGAGGGGTCGTGGGGGTTCGGGCGGCCGTCGTCCTCGGTGAGCCTTCAAAGAGAGTGACAGCGTCGAGTGTTTGTAGAAATTCGGAGTTGTACACTATCTAGAATGTCGTGGTCAAGTTAACAGCCAGAGTGGGAAGGGGGGGCTACCTGGGTGTGACAGGTGGACGGTGGCCAAGAACTAAGGTACCCTCTAGCGCAGGTAGTAACAAATGTCATTTGGAGATCCAGTACTGTGTACACCTATCAGTGGCCGCCGCGGCTGACAACGAACTAATACTACGCCAAGTTACCTACCTCTGTGTACACTAGACTGCAAGTAGTGTCCATACTAGAGAAAGGATGTACCTCGACAACGGCAGTGCTCTTATGACAACACGGAGGGTTTTGAGTCTTGCCCCTGTCTTTTTTCTTCTTTTTTTTTTCTCTCTTTTTTTCTTCAAGAACAGATATCGCTAACCACAAGCTTTTATGCATGTGCCTACCTATGCAAACTCTAGTGGGAGCACATTTGGAGATCGCTCATCAAGGTACCTCCCGAGACGCAGTCTGATGTCAAAGGCACCAGGCAGCGTGTCTCCATTCGCGGCCCGGGCCCGAAGCCAGACAGCAACTACCACCCGGTAGCCATTCGAGAGACATCCGGCCGCTACGCTCAGCCAACAGGACGAAGCGACCAGAGAGGCGTATTGGAAACTCACCCCATTCGTGGTCGCTATAGCAGATTGCAAAGCAAAAAAGACATTTCCCGGAACGCCTCTGCTATGATTTTTTTGAACTCGTTGGCCGCGAGACGCTTCTATTATACATGATCTTAGATTTCCCTCCAAAAAGATTTTGTCTTTCCGGTCCGTTCCTGACATGAGGTGAATACGGTGTGAACCGTCGCCAATTACATATCCCTGATATCTAACCCTCCCTCTCCAACTGCCCATTGTACACAATAGGTAGATGTATATGTGGGCGGCTTTGCCCATTTTTTTTTTGGTATGCGTCCACTTGGCGAAACACAGCGTTAGACCAGAGATGAGGATGCAGAAATACAACGAAAGAGGCAATATTAAAAAGATAGAAAAAAATATAGAAAAAAAAAAAAAGCCCGGGTGGACACTCGAGCACAGCTCACTGAGTACCCTCCTTCTTCTCCTCCTTGGGAGCAGCATTGGCTGGTCCATCAGCCGGTCCGGCTTGTTGTCCTGCTGCTGGTTGCTCTTCCGCCTTCTTGTTCTCCTGCATGGCGAGGTTCTGTATTTCGTTCTTGTCCTTCTCCCATTGGCCAGTGGCGTCGCCAAAAGACTCCTTCATCTTCTGCTCCTTCATCGCTTTCTCCTTTTCCTCCTTCTCGCGAGCGAGTCTCTCCTGCTCCATTTGCTGCCCACTGTTAGCGACCTGTCAAACTTGCATAACCAGATGCGTGATTGCTTACCTCCATGTGCTTGATATCGTCTACACTAGGCTCGTACAAATGCCAGATAGTATAATGAGGAAGGCCAACAACTGAGAAGCCCATCCTTCTCGACATCTGTTATCATAGTGGTTAGACGGATCCAAAGCCGCGGGAAGGCCTGGTGAGCTTACCTTTCCAAAAGCTTCTGTCTCGGCATGTTTTTCGAAGCTGAACGCCGGGAAGTGGACGCCGTAACGGAAAACCTTGGCCTTTGCCAGAATACTCACTCCACCAACGCCATCGATCTCCATTTCCATGTCGGGATCGCCATAGGGGTCCCGGAGATATGCGAGATGGGGACGCCAGGTAGCATATTCTGCGTACCCCTCCACGATAACTGCATCTTCGTCGAGAGTATCCGCGAGTGCGAGGGCGGTTTCGGACTCGGCCCAGGAGTTAAGGTCGTAGGGCTGTTCTCCGCCCAGCCAGTCAGGTAGCGGACGCCAAACATCTAAAGTCCGGTCAGCATTTCCAGTTCTCTCTCCAATATCAGCTAAGGGTTGAGGAGGCTTACTTGGCACAATCACATCCTTGTTGTGGCGCATCAGATCCTCCAAGATCGTAGTCGGCGCAGTCTCCACGTCGACATCACGCCAGTAGACCCACGAATGATACGGCCGAAGGGCAGCGCTGAGGAGCCAATTTCTAGCTTGGGCCATGAGCTTTCTTCTGCTCGCCTGCGCGGCGAAACCGTGGCGGCTTTCCACATCCTGATTAACCTTTTGTCCAAAATCTTTCTCGATGATGGAGATTTCGCCAAAGTGCTTGGACGGGTCGGTGCTAGCTTGAATAGCCGTAAGCTCCCGTTCAAGAACCGCCAAGGTGTTGTCTTTCGAGTCCGAAACAAGGAAAGCGAGATCGATCAGATGGTGAGGATACGTAAGGTTGAGGAGGTGACCGAAGAACATGGGCATATGCACTTCGGCATCGCGCAGCGGCACGCAGATCAAAATTCGCTCCTCTCTCTCCCATCCTTTCGCGGTGCCCTGCACGTTAGACAGGTCGTAGTATCGCACCGTCTCGAGTTGGAAATCTTCAGAACCGGAGCCGAGCCAGGAGAAAGACCCCGAATCGCCGGGCCAAACGAACAGCCCAAAGAGAAGTAATGATAGCAGCGCTATTGCCAATCGCACGAATAGTCCCTTCCGTCTTCGAAATGGTGGTGCCGCGCCTCGAGGTTGGAACCTGTGGAGTGATGGCGGACGGCTCCCGTCAGCTTCCAACGTTCGTTCGTTCGCCTGGTGATTCAGGGGGTGGGGGAGCCGCGAACACGCCAAGGCACTTTACCTGTGAGGAGAAATCTCGAATGTGTTTCCCCGCGGGTACCCATTGGAATATCCGCTCGCATGGTGTCGAGGGACCGCCTTGGACCCGGAGGAAGATGCGTACGGCAGCATTGGGCTGTTTGGTGATAGATGGTCGCTGCAGGGGCGGCCAATATTACCTATCGAGCACCTCAACCCCCCTTTGCGCACGCAGGGTACCTGAGTCCTGCGAACCGGAAATGCTAACAGATGCTGCAGACTGGGCGGTCTCTCGCTGGATATTGTCGACGCACGCGGTGCCGAAACTGTGTCGAAATGAGTAGAGAAGGGACCAGGCCGGTTCGGGATCAATGCATCGTGGTCAGAGAGAAGTTTGGGCGGAAGATCAAGACGATCGCGTTCCCGTAGCACCGAGTCGTTTGATAAAAAGCTGAGGTGTTCGCACCGGGCTGTGGGCAGCTTGACGGATCGATACACGTACTAAGTACCAGTCCAGATAAGATTGGCGGGTTGGGATGGATTTCTTTACCAATGGCGTCGCAAAATGGCCCGGCTGTTCGACGGGGTCCGGCCAATTGTACCGCATTTTGCACCCACCCACAAATGACCCCAGACTTGAAGCCTGGGTTCCAGGGGTTCTAGCGTAGTGTACAGGATTTAAAGTCGCCAAGGCTTCAGAATCGACGGCGAAGTCGACCTGAAACAGTGGCAATTCAAGTACCGTCGAGTCTGTGCCGTAGTTATCATCTCTGTGGACTACAAATGGGTACATCAGGGTGCGTCTTTCAATTTATTGAGGTTCAACCTCGAGACACAGACGATTTGAAAGGAAACCGGGCTTACATCGCGGAAAATGGTCATTCGGTCTGGAATTGATCCTGCACATCAAGGGCAATATCTTAGGTCTGACTGGAAATAATCAAATATTTGGCAACTCTTGTTTTCATTGTTCTATCTCTGCTTCTGATATCTTGAAGCCCTAGTGTAAATGTCAAGGACAGACACACCGTCGATCCTCAACCACATCCAATTTTACTGGGGTCATTGAGTTGTCGAGTCATGAACAACACAAATATTACCTCTTCAAAAGATGCGTTGCAACAAAACGTATGAAACGTTCGCGCCATCAACTACTGACCGGTCAGTTCATGGTCATACGCGAATCGGCATCAAGCAGAAGGCGAAGACGACACAGATCAGACAAGCCGTTTTAACTCAGCCCTACAAAGCCGGCCCAAGCCTCCCACGCCCCAAAACGGTGCGCAGGAGACTCGGACAACGGAAGCCAAATGACACCCCGAAGGAAGACACCACAACTAGTCCTCACGCCCCGAAAGACGCTCCAGTGCGGATGGATGGCTCGGCCCGTACATATCGTTGAATGGATAGACTGTTGTCATCATTGTGCATGGAACAAAGGAAAAAAAGGCAAAGTACCTACCAGATGGGCATGTCGACTCTCCCACTAGACGCAAAACCATTTTCAGATCCTATACGACTTGAAGTTTGTCAGCCAGCGTGCTCGCAGCATGTGTGGTAAGGGCTGTTGTTGTAAAAAAGAGTTGGGGTGATTGCCATATCAGAAGGTTTTGGTATAATTGGTTATCGCTCATTATTGTTCAGAAGCAGAACTGAAAATATTTTGTTTCATCATGGACAATCGGGTGGGTGATGATGTCAGGCGGGGGGGAAAACACAGAAAGAAAAACAATGTGATGCTTACCTAGTGGGTAGAGACTGAGAAAACGGAGCGGAACAGCAACGGTGACAATAACAAGTTTGTCTGTACTATTGATTGTCAGTCAACGGTTCCTCCAAATGAGTTGCAAGTGAAGAATGTGTTGAAGGAGTAGTCAGATGGTAGTGCATGTTTGTTCGATCGCTCAGAGATTATCGCGAGAACTGTGGTTATGGGATCATCATGAGATGTGAAAGGCAAGGGGAAATAAACTTACTCTATCCGTGCGAACCAACGTCGGCCATATCAGACAGCCAGGACATGCTCTCAAGCAATGGGGTTCGCCATCGCAGAATAACCAAGAGCATGCCTGTGCAGCTAACATGACCATGCCATTGCTGCGCCAGCGCAGAAGGCTGCCCAACCAAAGCGACCATGAGCATGGTAAGACTATGGTATCATGGACGCTCCCCAAAGACAGTGGCCATATGAAGTGAAGGCATTGATCCAATGCCGACAATCGCAAGCCGTTCCTGCCGTTGCGAACGGTGTGGGTTGGTGGAAGAGTAAGTTCAAGATGAGGTTGGAACTGAAGTCGGCAGAGTTTTGTAGCTGCGCAAAAAATTCCTCCATTGGTGGCTTTGACATGGAATTCTGGGTGGGGCATGTGGCTGACTGATCAAAATCGACAGTGAATGTGAGGTTGCGCCACAACTACTTGAATTTGAGAGTGGACCCCACTGCAGTGTAGACGGCGACTCTCACGTCTCGTTTTCAACAGTCAACAGAGGTACCAACAGAAGTTACCAACCGTAAAACAAGGAAAGCCATACACAGACGAGGTCCCTTTTTCTTCACCTATCTCAGGATTCTTCGACCAGAGAAGGGCATCGGAAACAACACAGCCATCACCAAGCCCACCATATTTTCGGCCCTCGTATCTTGGCTTCAAAATGGCCGACAGAAGACGTATTAACGGACCAGTTGGGACCACCAACCCTCCCATCTATGACGATGCACCCGAGAAGCAATCCGAAGGTGTCAAGGTCGCAAGGTCACGCCCGGCGAACGTAATTCGCAGAATGTGTAAGCACGTCAAGGACAAACCCTCCTGCTTCGCAGACACAGACTAACCTCACCTTTAGATCTCAAGACGGGAGTGACACCGTCGGCCTCTGGCTCTGCTTATCTAGAGATTGAGTCGTCTGGAAATGGCGGCTCTGGCTTGAAGCTCAGTTGCAGCGTTCATGGGCCTAGAGCTTTGCCCAGGTCAACACCTTTTTCTCCTCACATCATCTTGTCCACCCATGTCAAGTTTGCGCCCTTTGCAACCAAGCAAAGGCGTGGTTACATTCGTGACCCGATCGAGAGAGATCTCGGCACTCACCTTGAGACGGCTCTTCGGGGATCTATCATTGCTGACCGTTGGCCAAAGAGTGGAGTGGACATCATCATCTCCATCGTTGAAGGAGAGCAAGATCGGGAGACCTCCAAGGCCCAGGGCATTGAGGCTTGGGACACCATGAATGCCTTGAGTGGCTGCATCACCGTTGCCTCGGCTGCACTTGCTGACGCTGGTATTGACTGCGTCGACACTGTTGCCGGAGGTGTTGCCGCGTTGGTACAGGACGCAGGTGATGACGCTGCTCCCAGCATAGTTGTCGACCCGATTCCCTCTGAGCATGAGAAGGTTCTTGCAGCGTGCTGCATCGCATATCTGCCCACACGACAAGAGGTCACCAACCTCTGGTTCAAGGGTGACCTACCTGCGTCCGATATGGACGTTTATACGCAGCTGATTGAAAAGGGCATTCAGGCTTCCAAGAGCGCCAACCGCGTGCTCGTGGACTGCCTTAACGAGACCGTTGGGTGATCATGAGCTCGGCGCGGCAATGTATTATTTGTTTTAGCTATGCGTGAATGGGAAATACTCGTATTGAAACCTGTAAGTCCATCAACGGGAAAAACGCATGGAATTATATGGTCTGACGGTTCATGGTCTTTGAGTACCTCTACGATTTTGGTCGATTTATCGACCCGAAGACCGGGTTCTGATGCAATAGGTCGAGCTACCAGCCACTTGGTTCTTCGCAATAGCCCATACATAGGGCAGAAGTAATGGAGGATGCCAATCGATAGCAACGACAACAGAACTGCGTTCAGAGGGTCGGCGGCTGACTGCAAGAATGGAATGGTCAACTTCCGGCGGGAACAGTTTCGAGATGCCTGTCAAGGTTTGACAGGTTGAGCGAGCGCTCTTTTGCTGAAACTCAGCTGGAAGATCGCAGTGTGATGGACGAATGGCGTCCAAGAAGCGTTGTGGCTGGTATGCAGAGCTACCCTCTGAGGTTGACTGCCGAAACATTCTGAACCGCGGGGTATGAGAAGCTTCCACGTTCTTCGCCTCAATGATTGTCTGTTTCTGAAATTGGAAACATGATGTGGGGAGATTACGCGTATCGTTTCGTTCAAAGCAGCACGGCATGTTCGAAGCAGGGCAGACATGGCCAAAGGTGGTTGCTGATCATGAACCGAGGTTTCAACTATTACTGCGTAGCGCATACATACACTACACCTGAACGCACCATTGAATCTTCTCTCTTTTCGTGTCCGGTACAATCTAATGACTTTATCTAAAGGGAACTGCTGTGAATAGCTCGTAAATTCATCAACATGTCTGGGTGGAGGTAACATAACATGATCAACTACACAATCTGCACAAAGGTAGAGTAACGTTGCGTCATTACCGGCGTTCCGGTTCGTAACTTTCAGCATTACGAACGCCACCAAGGAAATGGAAGTCAGTCATCCGAAGGCGGACGTGGTACCACTGCGATAATTGGCACAGTGCCGCGTTCAGCGACGGGGCGCCCCCCCGGCGTGGCGTGGTCCCGGGCCCCTCTTTCCCCTGAACTTCTCCTTATCTGCCCCCCCACGGTCCCTCCAAAAAACCACAGACATTCCAGTTCGGCCCACATTGACCACTCAGGAATTGTAAAACGACAATCCAATCTTTCCCGTCATCCTCCAAAATCTCACCTCACCCAGCTCCCGGGCGAGTTTTCTCTCGCTTCGCACCTGGTCATTTCACTTTTCCCAAGACCACCCTACTCTCGTTTCTTCCGACGGTCCCGGCTGCCTACCTACATACCATACTGTACACTTTTAATTCCTCCATAGTGTTTTATCCATTCGCTTTGCGGCCGGTAATTCCTCCTTCTAGCCTTGCTTGTGCCGTCGATCAATTCGTTCCGTCTCCACTGCGATTCTGCAACAGTTCCAGGTTGTTGATGCCATAATTCCGATGCGGTCGTCCATACAACATTAATTCCCCTATTACGCTATTACCGACGACAACTCGAGCAAGCCCCGCGGGACCGAGACAACTGTGCCTTGTCCGACCTGATTTCGCATTAGTTATTATCCGCTTTATCGACTACTTCTAATCTCTTCTCGATGGGGAAAGACAAGAACTGTACGTCCACCCGCAACCCCCTCAGGTCTTCTAAGATCGCGACACTGAAGTAATGACAGGGCGATGGGGTGTTATCTTGGACGCCGGCTCCTCGGGGACACGACTACACATATATCGTTGGAAGGATCCCGAGAAGGCGCTTGAAGATGCGTCGCCCGAGGAGTTGCGCAGTCTGCCCAAGATCACGACGAAAAAGAAGTGGACAAAGAAGATTAGACCCGGAATATCGACATTCGGGGAGAAGGCTGGGGTAGTCGGCGAAGATTATCTGAAGGAACTCATCGACCATGCGCTCGACATCATACCCGCAGACAAGATCCACGACACCCCTATTTTCTTAATGGCCACGGCTGGCATGCGACTTCTTCCCCAGGTCCAACAAAATGCCATAACCGGCGCTGTCTGCACATACCTACGCAAGAATACGAAATTCTCACTCCCGGATTGCGACCTACATATTCAGGTTATTCCGGGCGAAACCGAAGGATTGTATGGGTGGATTGCGTCTAACTATCTTCTTGGGGGTTTCGATCATCCAAAGCAACATGCGCATGGAGAGGATCATCACACATATGGGTTCTTGGACATGGGAGGCGCATCAGCGCAAATCGCATTTGCACCTAATTCAACAGAAGCCCAAAAACATGCGAACGACTTGAAGCTCTTACGATTACGCACACTCGATGGATCGCCAGTTGAGTACAAAGTGTTTACGACGACATGGCTAGGGTTCGGCGTCAACCGGGCGCGGGAGGCGTATGTACAAAGCCTCTCGGACTTGTACACCACTTCCGATGCCGGAGAGCTCCCCGATCCGTGTCTACCAAAGGGGCTCAGGTTGTCACTGGATGGAACTCCAGTTTCGAAACCGAAGAAGGGCGAGACCACTCTAATTGGTACAGGCGCTTTTGACGAATGCCTTAGGAAGACTTATCCCCTGCTTGGCAAGGACAAACCATGTGCGGATGACCCTTGTTTGATCAATGGCCAGCACGTTCCAGCCATTGACTTTGATGTCAATCACTTCGTTGGAGTCTCCGAATATTGGCACACCACACACGGTGTCTTTGGTGGTAAGGAAAATGAGGCATACGACTTCACTACTTACCAAAAGCGGGTCAAGGATTTTTGCGGCCGAGACTGGAACAGCATCGAACCAAGCCTGGATGCCCACAAGAAGTTTGCGGTCAAGGATGCTCAAGAAGCTTGTTTCAAAGCTTCCTGGCTTATAAACATCCTGCATGAGGGTATTGGTGTTCCTCGAATTGGTGTCGAAGAACTTCCCGCTCCGGGCTTCAACGCCTCGAAGGGCGCTATCGAGACGGCCAAACAGAAGGGTTTCCTAGACCCGTTCCATCCGGTGGACAAGATCGATGGCATTGAAGTTAGCTGGACACTTGGCAAGATGGTTCTCTATGCAGCAGGTCAAGTACCTCCCAAGACAGGTGACGATCGATTTCCTGTCGGTTTCGGTACTAATATTCCTTCTGCCGGGGCAACGGAGCTACCACCTGATTTCCAGTACGCAGGTTCGACATGGACACCACTCAGCGGCGGAGCCAGCCGCAACGACTCCCCCTACCGCCCGGCCGTCAATGGGACTACAGACGATGGCAGTGACTGGGATTTGGAAGCCGAGAATCTCCTTGGCAAGACAAAGGCCAAGACCACTCACAGTCTTCTCATCTTTTTCTTCATCTTCCTCGCGCTGCTGTTCTTTTTCCGCAAGAAAGATAGGCGTATGCGGTTCTATGGCCGTGTCAACAACCTCTTCCATAAGCCCCGCCGTTCCGGCCTGTTCGGCAAGATGTCATCGTCCGGCCACAATAACGGCCCCCTCTCCAGCCTGACAAACAAGCTCTTCGGCCGTCGCTCCCTTTCTTCGGGCTCTTATGAGCGCGTTCTGGAGGAAGGCGAAGCCGCCGAGTTCGAGCTCAACGACTCCCACTTCCGCAACTCCTCAGCATCTTCCTACTTTGACCACAACAACGACCTCAACGGCTTTTACTCTGACTCCAGCGACAGCAGCTCTAGCGGAGGGGGACGGTCCAAGCTTGGAATTACGTCAGGGCTGGCAACGCCCAAGCTGAACCTGGATGGCCGGTTTGCTGATCTCGGCTGCGGCAACGGAGTAATGACGCCTGGCGGCTCGGCGCTCGATAGGGCGGGCTTAGTGGTCAGGACTGATAGTCGAGAGCGGCTGGGGTTGACGCCTACAACGACGACTATGAGTTTGCAGGGGAGGAGGAGCCGGGCTGGTAGTCCCACGAGGCTGAAAAGTCCTTTGATGTCGCCTTTGCAAGGTTAAGGCGTCGAGGCTCATGTGCCTCAAAGTTTTGTTACGAAAAGACAACCAGTCGCCTTGTGCTTGATTGAACGATTTGTCATGGGAAACGGCGTTGGCGGATGTTTTATGGGTTTTGCATTTCTACCTTTTACCTCTGTATATGGTACTTTCTTGATGATGGATAATTGTTCTTGTAGGAGGTTTACGGCCATGTCGTCCAACGATTTTTGTATGATGACAACGATACGGGTGGTCTTCAAACCCATCTGAGCGACGGGCTTTCAGTATATTTCTATTCTTCATTCTTCTCCATTGCCAACAGGTAGCTAGTACGGCTTTATCACAAAATTTTGGAACAAGATACCTCATTTTCATTCGCAAATTCTTCCAGCGTCTCTCTGTGCCATCTCTGCTTGTCCTTTGTTCTAACTGGGTATATTTGCGTCCTGAACGATCTAACTGATGCACAAACATGGCGCTGGCCTGACCTCATCATCAATACGACAAGTTCATGGTCTCGCCATCTCCAATTTCACCAATTGCAACGAAACCCCCCCCTCTTGTCCTCGAAGCCAAAGACCACGTACACATCCGCCAGGAGGAAAGAAGGCTTTCTTCCAACTACGCCCATCCGGGAGCCTCTCCCACACATTCAGCCCTCGTCACACATGTATGGAACGCCTTCTTCTAAGTAACCATTCCTCTTTCCCCATATGCTCACTGATCATTGATCATCATCCCTCTCCAAAAACCCCGGGTCCGTCCTCACCTTACTCTCAAACTTCTTCCACCACTCCTCAAACGCCTTAAGCGGCACCACCTCCATCTGCCCCGGCGTGGACCCGGTATAGCTCGACAAGAAGTTGAAGGCATTCTTGATGATCCTCTGCGCCAGCACCAGCGTGCTCGGCTGCTGCCGCGCTGCCGAAACCGGCACCAACGCCCCTTCTGTTCCATTACCACTTGTTGGTGCTGCTGCTGGTGTTGTTGTCCCCGTCGCAGTCATCCTACTGGCCACACTCTCCGCATCCTCAACCGAGACCCCAATCACCACATTCTCGTTCCCACCCCCTGTCCCTCCTGCACCAGGTCCAACCTTGAAGATAGCACTCTCCTTCCCCGGCCCGATCCCACCCAAAAACTTGAAGTTGGGCGCCGTCTGCCCCAGGGCTGGTGACGGCGGAGTGACGAGGTAAATTGCTGCTGCGGTCCCCGGGGGGAGGACTACACCAGGCAAAAGAAAGACGACGACGTGCCCGAAGGGCTTGGAGATGGCGGAACCGGGGGGAGAGTTCGGGTTGGTCGGTGGGATGGCGTACAGGAAAGAGGTGGGACTGGGAGCTTCGGTGGGGGAGATTATTACGGGCTGACCAGCGGGAATGAGGCCGAAGAGGGGTTGGGACATTTTCGTTGGATTTGTGGTTTGGTGATAATGTGGTGTGATAAGAGAATGGGTTTGGTGGCGGTGTTGATCGCCTGTTGCTGTTGGGCACTGCTCGGGTGTGGTTGATGATGAAATTGACAGAGCTCACAGCTGTCGGTATGGGGAGTTGATTCGGTATCCCGTTCTGGTTGGAGCTTGTGCTGGTTTTTGCCTCCGATAGATATATCGAACGGATGAGATAGGATATCTATGGCTGAGGTCCTTCAAGATGTACAGTTTGTATTCGCAAGATCGCGGGGGTGAGCTTCGGTTTTGGAAGACAAAAGACCACAAATTCGAACTCGCGGTCGTGGCGTGTGAAGTTGTTGATGTCAACTTTATGTAAACAAAGACCTGGACTCGGGGTGAATGACCGATTCCCTTTGTTGTTTCCTCGAAGATGCCGCTTTGTCCTCGAATCTCAGTTGATGTCCGGACGTGGAGCGGCCGAAGCGTTTATGATGCCGTAATATGTGGGGTCAAACAATGAGCTGGCAGCCAGGTAGGTATTCTTTGCGCACAACCATCACTGGCGATAAAGAGGGAAAGAGGATTTCACGGTTTTTCGCATTGAAAAGAATAGCAGTCAAGTATACTTGATAGTTTCCCCCGAAGAGTCGTCTGGTATATATTTGTTTCTACACTCTTATTGAAGCTGATGATGTGATGGCGAGATATCAAGCTACTGTGGGTCTACCGTCTCGGATGCTTCCTTGTGACGGCAGGGCAGCCGGGCAGTTCAGAAAATCACCGGGTCTTGGAACCAACATAGAGATGATTCTAGAGTCCTCGACTTGCAAAAAATTGAAGCTTCAGTACTAGAGAGACCCTCCCGGCCAGTTCCTCGATGCAATCTCCATTTTGGGAGCCAATGACGGATGGATGGAAAGGTCAAGTCCTTGTCTGTAACTTCCACTTTCAATGAGGATTGTTCGTTACCCTATTGTGACCCCCTGTGGTAAACCTGCTCTTTCCCCGCTACAAAGCGCCTCAACGCTCGACAGGGGCTTCTTGGATTTCGATCCTTCCATAAGTTCTGTCCCGAGTCTCGTCATCTGAACTATCTGAATGAAAAGACGATATGAGATCAATCCACTTGCGCTCGTAACCTCAAAGACGAATTCGTTCCATTGATTCAAATATATTGAAAGTGAAGAATTGCCCGGTTGATGCTGTCTCTCTAATTCGAGATGCTTCATGTTCCTCCCCTCCCAATTCCCGACGGTCTTCAATTGCGCTCCCGAACGACAGGAGATTAGCGCACGCCAATATCTGCTTCCCCACGCTCTCTTCCCTTGACAACATCCTCTCACTTGTGCCTCTCAAGCTCAAGTCAACTTTCAGGACCTTCCCCATCAGAAATCCAGACTTTCGACTTCATTTGCATCACTCGATCCCGTGTGTCCACGCCCTATTATCCAAGATCTCGCGAACCCGTTGCCTAACCATGACTCCTCGGTTGTCCACCCTCGACTTGGTGGCTAAGGTCGATGCGTACGTACTCATTTTTCTGTGAAACCGAATCCTCTGTGATCACGGCCGGGAACATAGATGGAACTCAGTGAAATGGATCTAAGGTTTACCAAGATTCCGAACATGACCAGAACGAGCGCTTACATTTTCTCCAAAAATCAAGCTTCCCTTACGCGGACCGGGATCCCGAGGCTTATGCCCAGATCATGAAGTCTTTCTACACGTTCGTCTGGGAAGACCAGCAGGGTCAGGTACCCATAGGCTACGTGAAGTTGGACGTTGTCGATGCACTCAACAAAGCCCCGGCAACTCTCAAAGGGCAGTTAGGGTTGCACATCGATGTCTCTAATAGGACTGTGGTGCTCTTCCGTGATGCCCCGGACAAAACCTACGAGGAACGCACTCGGCTTGTCGGAGAGCTCACTGCGCTTTGGCGTGAACAAGAGGCATTTGCCATCCTCAAGAGCTGGCGAAACGAGCTGTGGCCAGTTTACGGTCGCAACAAGGAGCTCGTGTTCAGCATAGAGCGGGCAGCTATGGGCCTCTTTGGAACCACACGCTACGGCGTGCATATGAACGCCTTCATCAGACATCAGGACGCCAGCAGCAAGTATGACTTGAGAATCTGGGTTCCCAGGCGGTCCGCGACCAAGTCGACCTATCCGAGCATGTTGGACAACGCGGTAGCGGGCGGCTTGATGACCAACGAAGACCCCTTCGAATGCGTCATCCGTGAGGCGGACGAAGAGGCTTCGCTGTCCGAGCATATCGTGAGGAACAACGCCAAAGAGGTCTGCACCATCACTTATATCTACATCACGGATGAGCGCGCGGGAGGCGAGGCGGGGTTGATCTACCCGGAATGCCAATGGATTTATGATCTAGAGCTACCTGCGGATGGAAGTGTCGTCCCCGAGCCAAAGGACGGCGAGGTCGAGAGCTTCAGCTTGTGCACAGTGGAGGAGATCCAGGAACAGCTCGCCCAGGGAATGTGGAAGCCGAACTGTGCAGTCGTCATGCTCGATTTCTTCGTTCGGCACGGCATTTACACGCCTGACAACGAGCCGCATTACGACGCATTTCGCGACCGGGCTCATCGACATATCGCCTTTCCCGGTCCTCACCAGGCCTGAATCCATCGAGCACCTTCCGCAGAGCACTAGCTCTCTCAAAGGCAGATGGACAACCCTTGGCTCGGTAGCGGGCATAAATACAGGTTCTTGCTTCCGGGTATCGTTTGATTCATTACTTTCCCCAGAGTCCAGACCCCTTTTCCCTCGGATATGCCTTTTCGGGTCTACGCATAACCTTAAACGCCCGTTCGCCCTCCAAAGGTCCACTGAATGTTGCTCGCGCCTTAGACTCTTGATCGGTCTAATGCTGTTCAGCCGCTAAAAAAAACATTTGCTTTTTTTCTATTTTTATTCTCCGGAAATTTTAGCTCTCAAGCGTTCCTGTTGGCGAGGAGGTAAACATAGTCGACACGCAGAGGCGTGAGCTTCTTGTAGGGACCGTCGAGGGCCATCAGAAGACCACCGTAGGACATATACGCCTTGCTAGATTTTGCAACCGAACCAGTCAGCCACTCATTTCCCCCGAATTCCAAGATCAAGATACTCTTTCCCAATTCCCAGGCAACAACTTACATGGTCTGGCCATCTTTTCCATCCTCGAACTTGTAGACCTTGCCGTGGCAGACATATTCATAACTGTCGGCCAGGGTCTGCTCAACGCTGCCGAGCTTGGCAGCATCGCGCCAACCTCTCTCGTCGTCCTTGCTGCCGTCGAGGGACAAGGAAGTGGCCAATGCAATTCTAAGGTACTCGCCGACCTTGACAGGGAAGAGCTCTTTGTTGACATCGAGCTGCATGCTGGTCTGGCCATCGACAGAGGTGCAGTACAGACGGTCGACGCGGTCGTACTTGGGATCGCTGATCCTCTCGACCTTGAACTCGTCCTCGAAGAGTTGGGCGTCGGACGTGAGGGCGGACATTGTGAATGCTGGTGTGGATTCGATGAAACAGTGGATGTTGGATATTGATCGATCGGAAGGATACTGGTGTAAGAGTTTGGTCGAGTATCAAACGCGTGTTGATTGGTGGGTAAAACGGATTGTCACGAGCGGTAATGATGGTGTTTTGGGAAACTTTTGGAGATGCGACTGAGCGATGGAGATGCCGCCATGCAGTTGCCGTCCCAAAAAATTCCAGCCTTGCGGCAACTGGACCAGGATGCCGGGGCAAGTAGTGGGGCAACCGCCATCGAGAATCCCTGTCACGCCCGTCCAGTGTGTGCCAAAAGTACGGCGGGGCTCTCAGACACTCCAGGGACGTCCAAGCTTCCATGGAATTTCTTCAGGGATCAAATTGACACTATTTGGATTTGAAGCATACCTCAACATCAAGTTTGGACTCGATACTCAAATAAGGACTGCAACTTGCCGACTGAACTATGTCCTTCGTCAAAAGAAACACCGTCCTATCCTCACCGAGAGCCGGACTCACGCCGTCCGCTCCCCAGCAGCAACAACCCAAACAGGAAACGCAGCTTGCGCCGGGTCTTCGACCATCACCAACCGATGGCAGGTTGACCACTTCAACTGGCACTGCTTCCCTGGACCAACTTCTTGCAGGACACGGTGGACTCCCCTTGGGCACATGCTTACTGGTTGAGGAGCAAGGGACCACCGATTTTTCTGGAATTCTTCTACGGTACTATGCTGCCGAGGGTCTCGTCCAAGGGCATCAGGTTCACGCAGTAGCCTTTCCGCCAGAATGGAGGCATCAGCTTCCAGGGTTGGCTTCACCTGACAAGAAGTCAAAGAGTGCATCACCGGCGCCGGCACCCGAAGAGAAGATGAAGATTGCGTGGAGATATGAGTCTTTGGGTAACAACGCCAATGCAGGAGCTTCTACTCGTGGGGATTCTGGAGCGCCTTTCTGTCACTCCTTCGATCTGAGCAAGAGGCTTGCAAGCTCCGAGTCCAAGGGTACTCTGAACCCGATTTCAGTTGGCGGTGCCCCGAGCCTAGACCGGAAAAGTGTTGGGACAGCTTCTCCTCTCAAGATGATTCTCAAGCAATTGCGGGCCAAGTTGGAGAGCTCAGGATCAAGCACCATTCATAGACTGGTGGTGCCCAGTCTCCTCTCACCAACCCTCTATCCTCCTGGATGCGCCCAACCATCAGAGGTTCTACAGTTTCTACATGGGCTCCGGGCTCTCCTTCGACTGTACAGCACCCAGCTCACAGCAATCATTACCTTCCCGACGTCCTTATTCCCTCGCAGTTCAGGCCTGGTCCGGTGGATAGAGATTCTTTGTGACGGCGTCGTCGAGCTCATCCCCTTACCTGCCAGGCTAGGTGCCGCGCCGCCGCCGCCCTCAGGGTCCGATCCCAAGGCAAACGAGCAACCCCAGGGTATGTTCAAAGTATACACACTGCCTGTGTATCATGAGAAGGGTGGTGGAGGAGCAGAGTCGGGCCAATTCCGAGAGAATCTGTCATTCAGCTTGAGCGCATCCAAGGGCTTGGTGATCAAACCGTACAGTCTCCCGCCTATGGTCGAGGATGAGCAGGAGAAGCCCTCGGCTGCTCCAATGAAGGATGGGCTTGATTTCTAAAGTCCCCTTCCGTTTGGCAATTTAACGGCTTGTTTTTGCAAATAACCGACTGTATTTGGCCCCCTTTCGGCAGTCTCATCATATGTTCAGGTGAGCTTCTTGATCATCATTGAAACTCCGTCTCTTTACCTGCCCAGGTATTGGGCATGCTGTAAGTCCATTCGAGCCACTGAAACAATTGGTCGACACCTGCCTGAAGCTACCTCTACCTACGGGCGTACAGCAACACCTGAGGTGGAGCTCAAGGAAAATGTGTGGGGTCGTCGACTCACCGCCCAAATTTCCGCCGTTTTCTGCCACGGCGCGATAAAAGCCCACACACCTCCGCCCAGAAGTTTCCCACTTTCTCTCCTCGTGTCGTCGTGTCCAACAACAGCATTTTTGGTAAGTCAAAACAGCTCTTTTTGCACACTTTCCAGTTGGTCTTTTATGATGAAACAACAAACGTATCAATCTGTCAATCCCCTGATTCATAGTGATGATAAATACGGCTGTCCAAGGCTTCTGATCCTCTGGCCAATCTATCTCTCCTGTCCACACACGCGAGCTCGTTTTACGAACCGTTTCTAACCAAGAGAAACTTAGGCACTTCATTGTTTTCACACACTCACAATGGCATCAACCGAGGATGACAGACAAGTACGGATCTCCAAGATCGCTGGTCGGTACCTCGTCTTTGATATTGATGACGTGGCGTATATCCGCCGCCAGCATGGCATCTGCGCTGTTTTCACGGGCACCATGCCGCAGAATCCCACACAGAATGTCTTCCTAGGATTGCCGCTCGAGCTGTATGCCGAGGATGCCAAGATGCTTTTGGACAGGAAGGTTGCCTACATTGCCGATGACCCTTTAGAACACTTAACCCAGTTGAAGTCAATGGATGACGCGACGCGCAAGTCGTACCTGCAGTCTATCAAGACGCAGCGCAGAACTGCCCAGCTTGTGTTCAATGAGGCCAAGGCACAGTCTATGGCTAAGCACAAGGACAAGCGCAAGCCGAAACAGCCACAGCCCCCTGTTGTCGTACCCACTGAACTGCCGCTGCCAGCATCATCTGCTGACGACGTCACGGCCGCCGTAGATCAGGAAGAAGAGGGAGGAGCAGAATCCCTCTTGGAGTCGTCATCATCCAAGCCAGTCAAGACGGACTCGTCGACGCCGCCTCAGAAGCCGCTGGTCAAGGAGAAACTACCTGCAATCACTCCAACCACCAGCAATGCCATGATTTCTAACGGGATAAGTAATCCTGATGTAGAAAACCACACTGCGCTACCATTGTATTCGTACTTGAACGAGAGAGGATACTTCATCACTCCAGGTCTGCGCTTCGGTGGTGACTTTAGCGTCTACCCCGGCGATCCCTTCCGCTATCATGCTCATTATATGGCAAACAGCTATGGGTGGGATGAGAAGATCCCCATGTTGGATCTCGTCACCAGTGGTCGCTTGGGAACGGCTGTCAAGAAGAGTTTCCTCATGGGAGGGCAGAAGCCGGCGACAGAGAACAGTGAAGCTGGCGAGTTGAGGGCGTTCTGCATTGAGTGGGCGGGCATGTAGTTTCAGGCAGCTTGAGCATTCGACTGAAGAGATGATACCCATTACAACAAACTTTCACATTCTGTATCATGTGAGATCGCATCGGATTTAAGCCTGTTCAACGATGAATATATTGTTGCGTATATGTAGTCCCTCGAGATGTTGTCGGAAAGCCATAGGAATTATTCGCCCCAAGGCAACCAAGGCAACCACGATCAAATCAAGAACCATCAAAACACCCTTTCAGTCGCTTCCCATTTGCCCCTGTGCATGCCTCACAACGTGATACTTACCTCGATGACCATCCATCATGCTGTTTGACACGCAACTTCCATCTCATGATGCTTTCTCCTTAAGACATGCCTCTCATTTCCTTCATCATTACCAGCTAGACTAGGTGTGTAGTGTAAAGCCATTTAGAAATACGAAAAATATCTTCCTCTTCCCAATAAAGTCCATAACCCAAAGTATCAAGGCACATAAATCCTACTAAAACTAATAACCTCCCTCCGACAACACACGCACTTGTCAAAATTATTCATGGCCAAACTAACCCTGCACTCATCGCAGAGACTCAGACACCGACACGGCCACACGATAATCGTCCTCGGCGCGCACTGACAGACCACGCACTGCGGTCCTTCACTACCCAGTCCATCCGCGCCCGTTGCCCAGTCGCCCGCCGTTGCCGCCGCCCCATTACTTCCACTTCCACTTCCGCTGCCATCCTCCCCTGCCTCCGTGGGCGCAGCAGTCGCCCGCCTCGACAACAATATCTGTTCCAACCGTCTAGCCTCTTCCTCGGGCGTCATCATTTGTGTGCTTTGCCCCCTTCCATATCCGTAAAGACTACGGTGTTGGGCGCCAGATAGTAGTACCTTGACGCGCTGGCGCGCTTGGTGCTGGCGAAAGCGGGAGCGGGTCATGATCCCTTCTTCAAAGGACAAGTGGGCGGCGAGGGTGATGGCTTCGTCGCGCTCTTCCGGGCTCTGCGGGTTGAGGAGGCGGGCGAGGTCGGAGGCTGCTAGGGGGAGGTCTGCTACTTGCGAGGGAGTGGATTCCCGGGAGAAGGCCCAGGATTGTTGGAGCGGGTTTTGGTTATTGTTGTTGTTTGGGTAAGGGGACGATTGAGTGGGTGTTCGTTGGCCGTCTTGGAGATGGTTGTTGTCGCTGTCGGATTCCCAGGCGTCTAGGTCTGATAGTGATGTGCTCTCGGTTGTGGAGATGATGCTTGTGGTGTCAAAGTCAGGGTCGTCCAGGCCGGAACCGCCGTCAGGGGGAACGTAGTCACCGCTTGTATCAGTGCTTCCCCACCAGCCGCCGTTAAGAAACCAGCTATAGAGCTTGGAGTCGATGTCGGCTTCGCTGGCGTTGGGTTGCTCACTGCCGAGGGGTTGTTGGAGGCGCCGACGGAACTCGGCTTCCACGTCTACACGCTCACTGCGTGGAACAGGGAAAGAGTTGGGATCTGATGCGTCTACCCAGATGGCTGTTGTGCCGCGATCACCTCTCCGCCCTGACCTCCTGCCAGTGGTGGTAGTCTCCGACTTTGGTGGCTGAAGGGCCAATGCCCGGAGCCAACGTGGCGGGTTCCGAATCCCAAAGTAAGAGAGTAACTTGATGATGACGAGCATCGAAGTTGTGATGATCAGGCGGCTGATGTGCATAACATACTCGATCGCCAATAGCCACCTACCACTGCGTTCAGTAGCGCCCACCCCGTCTCTCAGTCGCCTGGCGGAAACGCTATTCCGGGGTATCTTTTGAGCTGCCCGTTCCCTCGCGTAACCGCTCGTGGCGTTTGCTTGATCTTCCTTGACAGGTACGAGACCGATAACACCGACGGAGTCGAAACGAGAACCTGATACTCCGCCTCCAAGCCATTGCATCCTCAACTCCTCGATCTCGCGGAACCGTTCGTCCTCCAACCAGGTATAGCGTTTCACATTCACCCGGTGGTCTTCGTTCAGGTAGACGGCCTCACTAGCCATAGTGATGGCCCCAAAGCCAGCTCGAAGGAGAGCAGTATAGAAATCCATATCCCACCGGATACGGATGTCGGAAAGAGATCCATTGGCTTGCATGTTTGCGTGGGCTCGAGCAAGGCGGTCTCGGAGAGTTGGGCGTTGTTGTCCAGCATCGAGAGCGCCTTCAGCAACAGCGAAGGCTGAGAGCGCCATCGTTAGAGCGTAAATCACAGAACAGATAAAGATGCCGCATATGATAAGAACGTGCGGTACAAATCCAATAATGCAGACCGTAGGAAATCTCAAGAGTGCTTGAGCTGAGCTATCTTCAATGGAAAAAGTCACGGCGCCCCAGACAATGCTGCCCATAAAGCAGAGTCCCCAGAAACCAGTGTTGATCAAGCGGAATTTAGACTGTAGGTTGAAGACACCAAGTATTTGGCTAGTGAGATGGCTCATGGCAGAGAGAAACGCAACCAGCAGAACTTCTGGCGACGTGTTGACTCTCCTTAGAATCATGCTGCGCGTCACGGCAACGGCAGATCCTGTTAATGCCTGGGAAGAATTGCCCTTGCCCGCAAAGAGACCCCAGCCCAGCTGGTTGCTGATGGCAGCATCAGCTTCGGCAAAGGCCAACGAGTGCTCGAAAAGCGTCATCCCCGTTTCCGCGGCTACTGGACGGCCTTGAACCGTCGCAGAGAGAACCTCGATAAACTGACTAACACAGAATGTCATGAACAGGGGCCAGAGCCGGGACAAGGATCCTACTAGTTCCGGCTGCTCGTTTGAATTGTTGTCCCATGGCACCATCCTTATAGCCTGGCAGGATTGTTTATCGGTTGCGCCGAAGAGCAGGGTCGAGCTCAAGCCGTGGAGAAAGTTGTTCTTTTCGGAGAACATGAGGTCGGAGCTCTTGCTGGCGTTGCCCCAGCGCAGATTGGCAAAGTCGGGAGACGTTTGACACTGTATCGATTCAAGGATTCGTTCGACCTGCCAAGCGAGGACCAAGATAACAGGTAGCCGGAGCGCAAGCCGAACAGTCCAGCGTAGTGCAAGTCGGCGGCGAGTAGCGGCGAAGATGTGTGTTCGGTTGAAGACAACAGCCATGACAATGCATGCTAGAGCCCACTTGCTTGTTGCGTAGCTGAAGACGCTCCCTAGACCTCTGGCGCCCTCCATTGTAAATCGTGATGCGAAGGCGGCTGACTCTTGGCCCGTAGCGGTGGCCGCGGCCGAAGATGATGCGGATTCGAGTATGGCTCGAGCGGCGTCGGCGGCGGTGGTGCTGTCGGGAGCAGTCGTGACAAAGAAAGCGGCTGGATCGGTCGACTCAGCTATGACGCGCTGGCCAAAGCCGTCAATGGCATCGGGGTAAAAGATATAGGAGCCGCCCAGCTTCCCCAGCTTCTTCACCATCCTGGGTCCCGCCCAGACCAAATCCTCGAGCGAAGGCGCCAGTTTCGTCACGTTGAACGCATAGCCCAGGTGCTGGGCGGTCCAGAGCGTGAAGTTGTGCCATGCGCTGGCATTGTTAAGCACCGGGATGGGTACTGATGTCGGGGCCAAGGCTGCTGCCGCCGTTGCAGCACCCGGCAGGAAAACACTATCGTCCATAATGGGATCTTATGGAATGGAAGGTGAATCTATCACGCTGAGGTTCGGGCTCGCAAATTCCTCTTTTACTGCGTAATGAGCTGGGTGGCGATCGCCGGCTGCGTCGGCAACTGGCTAACCGCCTATCTTCACTTCTGTCTCTTCCTGGTTGCGTGAGTCCTTGTCTCTCATCTGGTGGTTTCGCTCAGGAAAACGTCCAGCATCTTCGCATGACAGAAAGGGGCGGCAAACCGAGACGGTTGTTACGCGTATGGATAGCTGTTGGGTTCCCAAGTTGTTTGATATAGTAGAAGCTGGGCTGGATTTCAGGATGCTGACACGGCCAGAGCATGGAGACTGAGTAGGACCAGAGACAAGAGGGGAGAGGATGGGACCGCTGTTGCCGCGGGACGAGACACACCCTGCGACAGTGGGCAAAGCGGAGAGAGAAGACTACCCGACACTGCATCGGAGCAATCAACAGCGAGCAACAGGCGGGCCTTGCGATAGGTAAGTTGCATGGAATGAAAGCCGAGCGGGATGAGGTAACTGGTGGGGCCCCACGCCCCAGGCAGGCTTGTTACATTCGTGTGTAGTGTACAGTGCCTAGCCTCCTACAGTAGCGTCACGTAGCGCAGCTGAGCCCAGGTGGTGCCTCCTGAGCGCTTCCTTGTGCTAGAGTCCCTTGTTGAATTGCGGATCCCCCAACTCTCCACCAAAAAAAGCAACTCCACTAAGAACTTGCACTTGGACATCATTACACTTCAAGATTGCTCGGTGATAACCGACGACGACACCTACAGTACCTACTAGTCCTATTCTTGCGCACGAGCATTTTACGATCTTCACGATCACGCGGATAGATCCTTCGTACCGTTCCAATCGCTATTTTTAAACCGTCGATAGCCACCAACAATGGCTTCAGCTGGACAGGCCCCCATCGCTACGTATGTGTCATTGCACTCCGACACATACAAAGCACTGGCTGGTGTCGGGTGTTTTTCTCTAGTCAAGAGGTAATCCCGGAATACGATCAAGCTAACCGACCCATGTTTGCGGTTTGTGTAGAGTCTATGTACGCAATCTCGAGGAGCGCGTCAAGCCAGAGCCCCTCAAGGAGGCCCTGCGCACCATCTTCTCCGAATACGGCAATGTGATTGATATCGTCGCCAAGACCAACCTCAAGGCCAAGGGCCAGGCCTTTGTGGTCTTTGACAAACCCGAGTCGGCTCAGGCTGCCATCGATGAACTCCAGGGCTTCGAGCTGTTTGAGAAGCCCATGGTGGTGGCCCTGGCGCGGACGAGGAGCGACGCCACGGTTATTCAGACTGGCAACGAGGAGGAGTTTGACCAGCACAAGCGCAGGCGCATTGCTGAGAAGGGTATGGTCCCTTCGCCTCCCCGACCCCCACTTAGCAGCGAGAGTATTCGATCTGACAATCATCCGCTACAGACAAGAAGAGAGCCCTCGAAGTCGCCGAACAACAAAACCGCCTCAAGCGTCCTCTCCAGGGTGCCGCCCCCGATGCGCGCCCTGCCAAGAACCAGCGCGGTGCCGGCCTCAAGGCTACGGGCCAGGGTCCTGCTGCTGTTGTACCCGACGAGTACCTGCCTCCCAACCGTATTCTATTCGTCCAGAACCTACCCGACGACTTCACCAAGGACGACCTCACTACCATCTTTTCCCGCTTCGATGGCTTCCGCGAAGTCCGTACTGTGCCTGGTCGCAGCGGCATCGCTTTCGTCGAATACGACGCCGAGGCTGGTGCTATCACCGCAAAGGAAAACACGGCCGGCATGGCCTTGAAGAACGGCGAAAAGATCATGAAGGTTACCTACCAGAGACAGTAGAGCATGTTTTGAAGGATGCATGCCTGGGGAAAGTCAACAAAGGAAATAGTAGTATCGTGCGATACAGATTTCATGCACTGCACAGTTTATCAGAGTGTGCTAGAAGTTTTCCGTTTCGTGAGGGCACCACTCGGGCAGTTCGCAAAGCGCCTTCTTCAGATACCCATTGCTACAACAAGAATAAAAACAAGACAAACTCCTTAATTGCGCCCATGCCCTTTGCCTCAACAATTCTGATGCAAACAAAACATTCTTGATCGTCATCGATAGTCCGTCGAGCCATCAGCGATTCGCCATGCCTTAACAAGTTGACATCAAACTAGAAGATGACGTCTTCGTCCTCCTCAGCTGCCAAGATATCGGCAGGGGTGTTTTCGGTTTGTTCACCTTCAGCATTCTCAGAGTCTGCAAGGGCTAGCCGCTGCTGCTCTGCCTTCTTTGCTTTCATCTGAGCGTCAGTTTCGGCATTGTCTCGTTGCTTCTTGGCAGCAACCTTCTTGAGTCTGTAGAACTCCTCTCTGTCAAGCTCGTCGAGTTCCGAGTTGATATCTATCATAGCTGTCAGTAATCTACCCTAGTGCCGGAACCTTGGGATTCACATCTACTTACACTTGATGGTGTTTTCAGTTCGAGGAATAATGACGTGCTCACTAGAAACTCCGTGTTAGTGTCCCCCGTTCTATCTTGCAGGGAAGACGGGTTGGGTTGGCCTTACATCGCATTGACTCTCCGGTTGACGACCTTGATGACCTCATCAAGGATAACGAACGCTGTCTGCAGACTAGCCAGCTCAACCAAGGCCTCCACCGCTCTGGCGTACGTCTCACGACACCGCTGTACCTGCTGACCACCCTTGCCCAGACCCGTCATGGCGAAGTCGTCGTTGCCCTCGGCCTGGTAGGCTTCGAAGGCGGGAAGCAGCACACCCGAGACGTTCTCCTGCTTGGCCCGGATGCGGAATCGCGCCGACTTGGCCGACTCTTGGATCTGGTATCCAATGTTGCCGCCGACGGCGTAGGTGACTTCGGCGAGGGAGAGCGAAGCGATCTGCATGACGCGGCCCATCTTGCGCTTGGCTTCGTCGATTCGGCGGGTAATCTCTGTGAGGAGACATGTGTGTTAGAGTGTCTACATTTCGCGGATATATGGGTGTGTGCGAGAGTGGCTAGTACCTCTGAAACGCCTGTTGAGTAAAATCAACATGTTAGTATCAAGCTCTGTGTAAGTGTATGGATGGACATGGGCCGGGAGGGGAACAACGAACTTGGTGAGAGCTTCACTTTTTCTCTTGAGCAAGCTGTGACCCGTCTCGGCGCCCTTGAGTTTGGCCTTCATAATACCCAAGGACTGCCGTGTGGGGAAGACGGCCTCGCGATCCTATCACCACCACTCATTGTCAGTCAACGCCATGGACCTGGTTGTGGTAATTGCGGGGGAGCAGCTAGGATGGGCTCTTACCGCAGCTCCAGACATGTTTGCGATCCGGCAATGGCCAAGGTATACTCGAGGTAGGGTATAAGACTGAGGCGACGGTAGGTCCTGGGGGAAGTAAATGATGGTTCGAGGAGTCGTGATGCTATTCCATGCGACAACGACAGATACTCTAGGTTCGATATCTAGGTACTTGGAGGAGGGACGGGCCGTGGTTGGTGGAGCTCGATGTTAGGTTGGAGCTTGGATGTGAGGTTGAGACGGCCGCCGCCGCCCACTGCAAGTCCGCCCTAGAGGTACCTACGTAACAACTGGATCCAGGACCACCAGAGCAGCAGGGCAGGCCTCCGTCCCGGGGATGCGGCTGGCACCTGCTGCGGATCCTGCTGCCAAGATCTTGGAGGTTATCAGCAATTAACCCCACTGAAATTGGCTCTTGTTTAGCGGGACATCTGCCAAATGATCGCTCTACACTAACTCCGTCAATGCCCCTGGAAGGCTACGGTGGTCTGAGCTTTCGCGAACTTCCACTTCCACTTCTGAACAAGGTTGAACTTCGAGACGTGCCGGGCTCCCAGGAAAAAAAAGAATCACGGACAAAATACAGCGACAACAGTCAGCGAAAACGAAACCCCGTCGTCGTCCGCCCATTCTTCGCATCTTGTCGAGAGGCTGGCCCAAAATCGTGGGAGAACGGCAGGAATGCCTCTAGGGATCTCTTGATCCTTGAACATCGATTTTACTCCTTCCTCCAGTGACGCCACTCCCGGTCTTCTTTCTGCAGTCCAACGCGGACCACTCCTTCGCCATGTCTATCCTTTCACGCGTCTCCGACCGTCGCCCAGACCTCTCCTTGGTCGTATGTGTTGCTCCCCTTCTTTTCCGGTCGTCTCTGCTGCAGAAAGACAAACTGACGATCTGACTTGTGTACCGGTAGAGCGAGGAGGACTTTCCCTATGAACAAGACATTGTCCGTAACCCCGGCAGCACGAAGCCATGGCTTGCCTATATCGAGTACAAGCTTCAGAAAGGGACGGTTCAGGAGCAGGCATATATCATGGAGCGCGCCTGTGTGCAGCTTCCTCGATCCTATAAGCTTTGGAAGATGGTGAGTACTGGAAACTTTCCCCAAAGTCCAACATGCCAACTGACTTGGTCGCCAGTACCTCCGGTTTAGGACGAAGCACGTTTCGAAGCTCAATGCCGCGATCTTTGCCTCGGAGTACCAAAAGGTCAACAGCCTCTTTGAGCGGGCACTCATTCTCCTCAACAAGATGCCTAGGATATGGGAGATGTACCTCAAGTTTCTGATGCAGCAGCCGCTCGTGACACACACACGTCGCACCTTCGATCGGGCCCTTCGCGCTCTCCCCATCACGCAACACAATAGGATATGGGCTCTGTATCGACCCTTCGCCAACTCGGCCGAAGGCGAGACGGCGGTCAAGATCTGGCGCAGGTACATGCAGGTTCACCCAGAGGATGCCGAGGACTTCATCGAGTTGTTGGTAGCAGTGGGGCTATATACGGAAGCCGTGCACAAGTACATCGAAATTCTCAACAACCCGCGATTCACAAGCAAGAACAGCAAGGGACACTACGAACTGTGGAGCGAGATGGTAGATTTGTTGGTCGAGCATGCGACGGCGGTGGAAACGGGGCATGAGACGGGAATCGACGTCGAACGGATCATCCGCAGTGGTATCGAGCGGTTTGCCGACCAGAGGGGTAAGCTGTGGTGCGGCTTGGCGACCTATTGGATTCGACGAGGCAGCTTTGAACGCGCACGAGACGTTTTCGAGGAGGGTATCACAACCGTCATGACCGTTCGAGACTTCACCCTCGTCTTCGATTCGTACACGGAGTTTGAGGAGTCCATCATTAGCGCTCTGATGGAGATGGCATCGACCCGGGCTGAGAAGGGAGAGGTGGACGAGGTGGCTGATTTCGATTTGGATATCCGAATGATGCGGTTTGAGCACTTGATGGACCGCCGGCCCTTCCTCTTGAATGATGTCCTACTGAGGCAGAATCCGAACAATGTCACGGAATGGGAGAAGCGTGTGGCTCTATGGGGCGACAACAAGGAGGAAGTTGTCAAGACTTACCTTGATGCTATCGAAGCCATCCAACCAAAGAAGGCAGTGGGTGCGCTTCACCAGCTATGGACCAATTACGCCAAATTCTACGAGGCCGGAGGAGACCTTTCAAGTGCCCGAAGAATCATGGAGAAGGCCGTCAAGGTTCCTTACAAGTCCGTGGCAGAGTTGGCAGACATGTGGATCGAGTGGGCAGAGATGGAGCTTCGAAACGAGTGCTTCGACGAGGCCATGAAAGTCATGGCAAAGGCAGTACAGGCGCCCAAAAGGTCCACGGTGGACTATTTCGACGAAACCCTATCACCACAACAAAGAGTTCATAAGAGCTGGAAGCTGTGGAGTTTCTACGTCGACCTCGTGGAAAGTGTCAGCTCGCTGGACGAGACCCGCAAGGTGTACGAGAGGATATTCGAGCTTCGCATCGCCACTCCCCAAACAGTAGTCAACTACGCCAACCTGCTGGAGGAGCACAAGTACTTTGAAGAGTCGTTTAAGATCTACGAGCGCGGTCTCGATCTCTTCAGCTACCCCGTGGCCTTCGAACTCTGGAACCTGTACCTCACCAAAGCCGTCGACCGCAAGATCAGCATCGAGCGCCTCCGCGATCTCTTTGAGCAAGCCGTCGAAGACTGCCCACCCAAATTCGCAAAGGTCATCTATCTCATGTACGGCAACCTCGAGGAGGAGCGCGGCCTCGCGCGCCACGCCATGCGCATCTACGAGCGGGCCACGCGCGCCGTCGCCGACGAGGACCGGGCTGACATGTTTAACTTCTACATCACCAAGTCGGCGTCCAACTTCGGTCTGCCCTCGACCCGGCCCATCTACGAGCGCGCCATTGCGGCCTTACCCGACGCCGAGGCCCGCGACATGTGCCTCAAGTTCGCCGACATGGAGAAGCGGCTGGGCGAGATCGACCGCGCCCGTGCCATCTACGGTCACGCCTCGCAGTTTTGCGACCCGCGCACCAACCCGGGCTTCTGGACCAAGTGGGATCAATTCGAGGTGCAACACGGCAACGAGGACACCTACAAGGAGATGCTCCGCATCAAGAGAAGCGTGCAGGCGCAGTACAACACGGATGTCAACTTTATTGCTTCGCAGGCGCTGGCGAGGAGTCAGCAGAAGAGGATGGAGGAGGAGGCAGCAGGAAATGGAGGAGGAGAAGAGATGGACGCCGAGGTTGCGGATGCGATGGCGCAGCTGGAGAGACAGGCGCGCGCGCCCGTGGGCTTTGTGGCGGCTTCGGAAGGACCAAAGGGCGGTAGCATGCCGGTTCAGCCTGTTCAGGTTCATAACCCGGATGCTATCGATCTTGATGAAATGGATGAATGATCTATATTGGTTCTCTTTGTTTGTCAAGAGCCTCTCATTTGTCGTTTTCTTATTCTTTCTTTTTTTTTTTTTTTTTTTTTCCTTGGGGTTGGGCTGTTGCGTTGTGTCTTTTCTAGTTTTCACGGCGAGGTTGGCCTCTATTGTACATAGACTGGAACACTTAAGTGGGAAGAGGGTCGGTTCCTTAAACATTTACCACTACATAAACACAAATCACCAGAACATCCCTATTCCTTGTACGGGGTTGAAGGACAAGGAGCTGAGGAAATTTCTCTTTTGTTTTTGTTCTTGGTTTCACATGAACTAGGTGGGGGTTGGTGGTTCGTGGATCTTGCCAATGCTTTAGATTGTACACAGGCTGACAACGGAAAAGGGGGAAATAAAGGTTGGGGCATGGGCGGACATCGATGAGAACAAACCTATCTCTAATTGTTCAACAAGACGAATTTCGCACAGTTGAGCAACTTTTCCAGTTTCTCCTTCACGTCTTTTCATAAACTCAACACAGCAGGCCTGGGTAGTTACATCTATGCGTTTCGAAATTAGAACACTCTCGATAGCAACCAGCACATCTGCTGCCCATTGCGTGTGAAGAAGATCTTGGTTCATATCTTAGTGAGGGGAAGTTCCTGATTCAAAACAGAAAACAAATGCCATCAATCGGAATTGGTGATAATACAGCCCATCAGCAAGATAACAATCAACCATGTCGTATAACGCATCCCCCATCCAATAAACAAGCTATCCCAGCACGCACACAGTCAATAAAACCCAGCTCAACCTCATGGACAACCGGATATCATCGTAGCAGATCCTCCTTCAATGTTCATACGCTTGTTTCCTTCGCGCGCCGTTGTTTACCCAACCCAATCCACTCAGTCGCTCGCTTACTTTACATTCTGATATCCCTTCTCCATGTGTTTCTGATGGAAGGCAGTGGCGTAGTTGTTGTCAACATGGCCGTCCCGCGTCTTGGGCACGGCGTAGATGGATCCCTTGCGCTTTTGGAAGCGGCTTGGTGGCACTTTGGAGGCATCTGTTGCAACCCACACCAATTAGATTCGTTACTGACTTGGGTGATCATTACAAGATGGATAGCAAAGGTGGTGAGGATACAGTAGTGACGAGAGGGGAAAAAAAAAAAAAAAAAAAAAAAAAAAAAAAAAAAAAAAAAAAAAAAACATACCCCATTCGGCACTCATCCGACGGTCTGCCGGAGAGGTGGGAGAGGAATCAGCCGAGACGGGACTGAAGTTGGTGAATGTGGGGGTTGCTGTTTCTGAGTTGCGATGTTGTACCGGTTGTTGTTGTTGTTGTTCGCTGTGGGTGGTGTTCGCCCTGGTGGTGTCGATGGTGATGGGAGCTTTGTTTTGCTGTTGTTCTGTGAGGTATCACGACCGCATCAGTGCATGGTCTCATCTGCAACTCAAGATGGTATTACCTACCAGACATGGTGTCGAAGTCTTTGGTGAGAATCTCTGATGGGCTCAGTGTTCGACAAACGTTGTAACTGGTATGGTAGCAAATAGATCAGGGGTCCGGGAGATGGGACGTGGAGATTATAATATTCGAGATGGATGATGGCAGAGAGATAAAGATGTGAAGAGTAAGTAGTTTGGTCGAAAAGCGGGTTGACGTGGTCTCTAGGTTATAAGATAGAGGTGTCCTGCTGATAGGATGGCTGCTAGGGTATCTCGGAGTGAAGGGTTTTCAGGATGTTTGACGGATGAGAAGACGGTGGTGATGTTGGAAGGATTGACATTGTAAAAAAGGAATAATCGAAGGAACCGGCAGTACGTGGACCCTTTCCTCTGCCTAACTACGCAATAAGGCACCTGACCCTTCCAATGTGATCGATGTGCAGTAGTTCTCAAGTGGAAGGGAAGGCACAAGGTCTGGGGCCGTGCTGTGCTCTGACTTGAAGGGTGGAAAGATGGCTTCCCCTGTCATTGCCTGTTGCTCTTTCCTCCTTCTACCGCTCCATTCGTGTCCGTTGATATCGGTAGTGTAGGCATCCCAGTCTACATCCGGGCAATGTGATTGGCCCGGTGGTGTGTAAGTGACGGAGAGCGTCAATCATTCCCAATCCTCGGACCAGTGATATCCTCCCCTCTCTTCTTTCCCTCGAAACAAACGGAACTGAACTTGACAGCCCTGACGATCTTGACCGGTACAGTACGTTCAATCTCGACGCATCCATCCATCTTGCTGCAGTCGCCCGTCCAAGTAGCACTCACTTGGTTGGGGTTGTTTATGCCAATCGTCCACCCACACTAGACCACCTACAGAGAGCCGTCTCTGTGTGGCCAGAAACATATCGATACATAGCAGCCCCATTTTCGGCTGCAGTATCGCCCAGCCGTGCCAGTCCAATCTCGATCGTTGCCTCCGCAATAAAGGTGGTTAGAATAAGCTCAAAGCAGCCCAAAAGCGGCAGTCCGATCGCCACTCATTCATCATACGCGAGGCCCCCAACGCTACCTGCTTGACGTCATGCGGGGAAGGAGAAAGAGGAGCATAAACACACCCACCCAGGCCAGCTAACAAACGTCCCGAACCGTGTAAAGTCCAAGCTCGTCCATCTTTGTGCCCAGATAGCGGCGGACTCCTGGTCTTCTGACAGACGCCCCAGCGGCTCGAGCGCGGTTGAAGGTAAAGAAAGAGGCCCAGGCGCTGCGTCGATACTCTCTCGACCTATTACTCTGTCACGCGAGCCGTTTCTCCTTGTCGACAAAGCTTCAAGGTGAGAAGATATTTTGGCGGTTCACATGTTGACAAGCACAACATCATGGGCTTCGTAAAGTTTACACGCCAACCGTTCAACGGTCTGTCTCTATTCTAGTCACACTCGGCTTCCTCGCCACCCTATCCCTACTTCCTAATAATATCCTACACTCCATTATATTGACATCCCAGCTTGTAATTACTCACTTCACTTTCCAACCCATTGTCTTCTCGCTCATACCCGTCGTAGCATCCGTCGAGAACACTACCTGAGAGAGCAGTGCCCTTCTAGTGCTGCCACTGCTCCACATCCTCCACGGAATCCTTCTCAATGTCGGAACGCTTGGCAAAATACCTCCTGGCAAGAGGGCGCTTGCTAGTCTTGGCAGCGCTGGTCGCGTTAGTGACGGGAGTAGTGGTGTCGGTGTTGCCACCACCAGTTCCAGCACCAGCACTGCCGGCCATCTGGACGGGCACGACACCACCGAAGGCGATAGGGTTCTGGCACCGCACCAAGCACACGTTGTCTTGACCAGCGACGGTCCCGGTGCACTTTTGGTCGGCAGGGATGGAAGCGACCAAAGGAAAGTCAGTCGTGGTAGCCTGTTGAGGGTTGTCAGTTAATGGCCTTAACATCCAAGTGGTGGCGGATAGAGACTCACTCTAGAGAGACCGAACCTGCCCGGGACATTCGTCGCGACCTTAATCGCAGTCCACTCCGTCGCCTGCCCATCCGAGTTGATCATGCAAGAATAGGGTCCAGCTCCGTCCTGGTTGATCTGGTGAAGCGTCATCTTGACCGTACCACCGGCCGTCACCTGGGGCAGCGAATCCTTGGTAGCGGCCATGATGGCTTGGGTGCCCTCCTCAACCTTGTTGGCGCCACCTTGGATCGTCTGGCCGACCGTCTTGGCCGCCTGACCACGGAATCGAGTGGTGTCCACCTGGAAGGGGTTGCGTCTCGATCCGGTACGGGGAGTGCTGGGGTCAATGCCCAGGGCCATACCGGCACCACCGGCGTCGCCTACTGCGGCGATGATAGCGCCGTGACCGGCGACCAAGGGAGCAAGAGCGAAGAAGCTCATGAGAATGGACTTGAGAGATGCCATGTTGTCTGCGGTGTCTTGAAGGTTGTCTTTCGTCGATTATGTGTTGGAAAAGTCAAAACTGACGGGTGCACAGCACAAAATAAAAAAGTCGTAAATATATGACCTGAACCGGCAGGAGAGAGGATTAAGGGTGTTGAGAAAGGAAGATTGGAGAGAAAGCCGGAGTGTGACTGAGAGGGCTGGACCTGCCTGCTGAAGTGTTGATGATGCTGATGCTGATGATGATGATGATGCTGAAGCCAAAAGCTAAATCCAGCAGAGAGGAAGTCAAGGCCGGTTTTTATACATTTTCCTTTCGTGATACCGATGCCGTCGTCGAGGGTGCCATGTGGTGTTTACAATGCACTGCCGTCCCCCGGCGTTTCTCACCCTGGTCGCACGGGGCCGAGTTTTGAGTTTCAATGTCTGATCTTGCGCAGGGTCCGCTGTAGCTCGGCGCTTGATTTCTCGCACGAAACATGGCGTTTGAGACTACAATAGTGCCAACATTGGCAATTGCAAATTGTTATCGGATCGGGTTGCGGGAGATGTTGGGGAAAATGGGTGGCAGGAGATGCTATTTGGGGTCGGACTTCCACTTCCGGCACTTCTTGCGAACGAACAACATGATCTCCACTGACAGGGAAGAACTTCCAAGCTGCCCGTCTTGCAACACATAATGATTCTGCGGGTAAATAATCATTAATGATAGTTGGTGTAATCGCCTGCGATATTTGGGATGTGTGTATCATCGAGGCATCGGCGGATTCACTCGTGTTAATGCCGCTTGGCTTGGGTAACCTTAAGACCAATGCTAATTCCAATGCCACCCAACTCAACATCGTTTACATCCTTCGAGATTCTTTGGGCAATGCAACCAAAGTCGTCGGTTTATTCTGATCATGCTGTCCGTCCGAATCTGTTGAAGAACCTCTTGAACCGAAAACTGGTAAAGCCACCATTCTCCATCTTCTATGCCGTAAATCCTCAGATCAGACACGAGATAGAGAAAACCTGACCTATTCAAATATATGTTTGACCTTCACTTGGACATGCCGATTTGTAGAAACTTCCAGTTCAGAGACGTGGCATTTGCCCTTTCCCTTGTTTTTGGCAACGACTTTGATAGATCAGCCTTGATCGATTTGACTTGCCGAATGCCATGGTGATAGTTCCGTTTGGAATGGAGCCATGGACGTCTCTTCTTTCCTTCTCGCTTCCTGGCGCCTCATCGTCGGCACCAGGAGTCGCATTGAACGGGTACTAAGCCACCAAGCAAAGTGTCGACCCAAACAAGCGTTTTCGTGCCGCGAAAGACCATGTCAAGCCAAGCCGGGCCAGATTTGGGCCGTGAACCGTGTATGATCCATCAAAGGATGGATACGACGATGTATGTTGGGGAAGTAGTGGCTGGTGTCTTGGCTTAAGATCTTCCTAAGCGAAGTATCAGATCGTGGTATTATAAGATAAACGGATGCGGGATGGAGGACGAAGAGGGGGAATTGAGCCTCAACTCCAGCGGTCAAAGACTCATCACAGTTGCGCGCAATAAACTGCGTCAACGGGACTCCCTCCTAGCCTCGTCTCGCGTAGGAGTTCTGGAGGTAGCGTAAACTCGAAGTGGCAAGCAGGAGTCTCGTGACGCAGATGGTCGTCTCACTTGGGCAAGGCGGGATGCCCATTTAGGGCTCGTGTTGCGAGTGCACGACCAGCCAAGACTTGAAGGTTTGACGATGTCGAGAGCCTCGGGATCTGCTATTTTCAGGAGTTCCAAACACCTCGGACTGCTCACCATCAACAAGTTTGATCACCAAGCCTTGCATACCATCGATCGGAGTGCATCAATCGCCCTATCAACACCACTGCCGGACCTATCGCAATCACTGAGGCTCTGTTGACACTCTTGCCTGTCCAGCCGCTGTGGGTCACCCTCTCGTCTCTGCCAAGCAGTTCCGCCTATTGTGCAGTAGACAGATTTCGTAGATTGGCCGGTCCTTCCGACTGACCTTCTCCTCAATCATCGCCTGTTGTTCGTCCAGCCTCAGCCTCACGGCTTCAACAAGTTCCGATGCCGCCATACCCGAACTATTATCGCGCTTGCGAGCTTCTCGAGTCCGTGAGTGCTTCAGCAATGGCGTCAAATCCAGACTTTCGGAAAGATGTTATGATCCATGGGCGATCGCGTGAAACGCGAAATGGGACGCTCCGTTCGTTCTACCCCTGAGCGGGCTGGTCGACCCCCTGGCCTAGTCGTTGATCCTCCCCACCCTGTTTCGGGCTTTTGTCTGTGCAAGCCGGTTACCGAAGACCAGATAGATATGGAATCAGGAGCGTCAGATGCAAGTTGAAGCAGAGGGGGGGATTTTGATGGACCAGTCGCATTTGTGGGATTGTTGGTGGGATAAATCCGTCCGAAATGCTGAAAGGAAACAAACCTAAGCATTGGACTGTGGCGTAGCGTTTGAATCAAACAGAAAGTGCTTCCTGCAATTGAGGCTTGTGTGGCAATCAGTACTGCACTCATCCTTCCGTTACATGGTCGTCGCCATTCCAGAAAGACGACCCGAGAAAGCGCGACGAAACGATGAAAGGTGTAAGAAAAAGGAAGCAGAAGAAATACGATCACGGTGATCGCAGTTTCATGGAATTTGAATAAGAAAAAAGTGCCAAAAGTTGAGGTCGTGCCCGGGTTCGAACCGGGGTTACTGGAAAGTTTTGATGGGTTTCAAAATCCAGAGTGATAACCACTACACTACACAACCTTTGACTTGTTGTTTTTTGCTTCATAATGCAGTAGCTATGTACTCCTGCTGGACAACGGCCCCAACACACCGTCCGCCTCTCGACGTAACCACCAGAGTACATATTAATCATTTGATATAATCCGCAGCAAATGTTCCATAACTTTTGATATACATACCGAAGAAGTGTTCAGGCAATCAGTAATGAAGTCATGGCCGCTGTCTTGACGCCTCATTGCGCCATTGCGTCGGAGAGAATGAAGCTGCACTAAATACAAATGATGTTCGATAGTAACCTCGTTCATACGGTTAGTATTATATTTCAAAGTATTTCCATGGATTATGCTAACATTCCTTCTTTTCTCAAACCGGTTTTGCTGGTATCTCCAGATCCACCCGGGTTCTAGACTGCACTTTACACGATATGTCAACCATTTACACTATATAGCACGGGAGGTGTGGCAGGGTAATGCTCCATCCTGATCTCCTAACAAGGAACACTTTGTGGTTGTCCTCAACTTGGTTACCGATCAATGAAACTGTGGAGTGAGTCAAAGGAATGGGAGCTGGTTCTGAGTATCGGGTCTGAACAGTGATTCGTACAGTTAGAATGTATACCTGAAGAGTTGGAGCGACCGTATTGTCAAGATCACACACCTCCTACTCTTCGTATTGTAGATGTCCTGGGGACAACCGACTCATCATGGCGCCGACTGCCTCTCAGTTCAGTAGAGGTGAGTGATGCCGACGTTGTTCGCCCAATGTTACTAGCCGTTGCATGATTGTTCGCTCTACTAGACTGGGTATAACGACCAGAGCGAGGAATTGCCGGCAGCGTGTTACTGAGAGTATCTCGCATGGATGAGAAACGAGAGCCGGGCTCGCCTATTGACATGTGGCTAGCTGGTGTTCCAGGCACAAGAACTGCAGAAAGGTTAGTCTTATTATCAGTGTAGCAGAGTAAGAGTGAAGATTCACATTGGGGATCCATTGGTTTGTTCCAGCCATCCACACTTCCTGAACCAGAATGCCTTCTTGATGACCTCGAGTCATCGGGGAAGTAGTTGGTTGTCGGTCCGATCCCACCAGCGTTTTGCCCCTGGAGGTCATACCGATCCGTATTCGAGCCTAACCTCGAGCCCATGACATCAGCCGGATCGTTGGCTGGTTGGCTTAGCAATACCTTTTGTTTCAATTTGTTGTAGAGCTCCTGAGCCTGCTCCAACTTCTTGCTCTTTTCAGCGAGTGTGCGGCGAAGATCTTCACATTTTCGACGGAGCCCTTGCTCTTCAAGTTCCATATCTGACATAAAAATGTGAGCCCGTTGTGCACAAGATGCCCAAGAGATCGAAAGCCTGAATATACCTTTGATCTTGGCCGTCAAGGTGGAGATCCTGGTGTTTCCTTGATTCCACACGCTCTCAACTTCACGCTCGAGTGAGACACAATGAAGTTGCAGATTTCGGTTCATCTGAGACTGACGTAGGCTAGCATCTGGATGTCAGCATCTGAAGATCCCTAAAACAATTGAATGAAGAGCAAGAAGAAAGGTATCAAGACGGACATTTGGTTTGTCATCTGATAGGACCAAAAACTGAGGGCTCTTCCTGCGCATTCCATGACCACCGTAGGACTTAGACCACACAAAATGACGGACTTCCACTCTTCTGATGGACGAAGAAGCTGTCTAACTGTCTCGCTCTCATTCAGGGGCTGACGACAAACAGGACAGGTATAGGGCCCTTGGCTAGTGAAGCCGTGGCGACTTGCGCAGTCCATACATATTGCATGGCTAGGAAATTGTCAGTTGATTGGACTGGAACGATAATATCGAGTTGCCAACCGACCTGCATGCGGTCACCAGGGCTTGACCCGTCAACTGGGCGCCGCATTTGTTAACATTGCAAGCCAGGTCTTGCTCCATCGCTTTTCAGCTACTTCAAAATCGTGAGTTGGATATGAAAGAGCGAGAAGGGGTAATGGACGGATCAGCCCGAGAAGGACACTAAATTCACTTTATCAGCAGGAACTCTAAGACGAAAAATTAGAAGCCGGAAGAAGAGTAACGGATCAGGATGACCTTTGTCGAGGAGTTGCAACAGACTCGAGGGGGGAAATCGCACGAGCGTGACTTCTGGGTGATGGCATCTGTAACGCGCCTTCCATCTGTACCATCAAGCGCTTGCTCATACCACCTGCCAAGTGTTGCTTTATAGGAAGGAGCGACCCATGATCACAGGCGGGACGGGCACCGTCATAGAGGTACCTAGTACCAATTAAGACCAACCCAAATTGAGATATCCAGTCTACAGGTAGGTACCTAGACGTCAGTTCCTGGAAGAAACCATTTCAGCCCACTTCAGTTTGCATGAACAATTGACGAGAGAGATTGAGGCTTTAAGCTTGGTGATAAACAGCGAGATGATTTGCTGTAAGTACGCGTCCGGATGAATCTTGTTTGTTTTGAATTTGCGAGCATGTCAGTTGGGGACCGGGCTTGGTTGCGTTTGCAGCATGAGTCGACTACGACAAGGACCGGAACGTGAAGGAAATTGCACACGTAGTCGCTGGTTCAAGCTCTACATTCAAGCAGCACCACAAACGCCCGCTCTGTATCTCATCGTTGATGGTATCGATGCTTGCTAGTGCTACTTATGGACCAACCGACCTCGGCATGCGCAACCCCTGGCAACTTTCCTTGGCAGCCATCAAGGTTCCCTCACCAGCCACATACGCCACGCGTACTGTAGCTGCACAGTACCTCCCCGAACGCCTCCTCGTGGCGGTGCTGCAGCTGTTCCAACCACTGTCAGCAAGGTGGTGATCCACTAGAGGCTCTCAAACCCCACCGCTTCGCGACGGACCTCATAACCACGACCTACGTAACCGACAGCTCTTCCTCGGTCACGCCAGCTGTGCCATTAGCTGGAGAAAGTTATAACCCAAAATGACTGAGATTGTAATGGACCAGACGCCGCCCATTCTGCAGGGTCCTTCGGATAAAGAACGCAAATATGATCGCCAGTTGCGCCTATGGGCAGCGAGTGGTCAGGCCGCCCTTGAGTCGGCCAACATCCTGCTTGTGAACTCTGGCGCCGGTACAGTGGGTGTCGAAACTCTCAAGAACCTTATATTGCCAGGTACTTTGCTGTTCTCAATTTCGCCCTAGATCGCCACGATCAGAGGAATAGAACTTCACGATGCTGATACGAACACTACAGGTATCGGGCGGTTCGTGATCCACGACAATGCGCTGGTGGACGAGGCCGATCTGGGTGTCAACTTTTTCTTGGACGATAGTTGTCATGGAAAACCCCGAGCACAATGTCTGGCAAGTCTGCTGGGGGAGTTGAACCCGGAAGTGGATGGAGATTGGTCGCCCAAGACCAAGGTAAACGATCCAAGAGGGCATGGCCCAACTCTGCTGCGAAGCTCACTACTAACTTGACGGAAGCAGAACGACTCACTGGGGTCACTACTTAAAAAGTCCCCCTTATTTACCGCCATCATGTACACATATCCTATCAACCACGTTGAGTTGGAGTCCCTCGAACAATACAGCAAAGAACACAAGACACCACTGATAGCCATTCACTCGACTGGCTTCTATTCGTATTTTACTATCAGACTTCCGGGAATATTTCCAATAGTCGACACCCACCCGGACGAGACGGCAACAACAGACCTCCGACTCCTCAGCCCCTGGCCTGAGTTGGTCGAGTTTGCCAAAACTATGACCAAGGACATCGACAGCTTAGACAATTTCGAACACGGCCACCTGCCATACGTGGTAATATTGCTTCATTACTTGGATAAGTGGAAGGCAACACACAATGGCACCTACCCCTCAACCTACAAGGAGAAGACGGAATTCAGGCAGCTAGTTCGGGACGCTGCAAGGACAGACAACCCCGAGGGTGGCGAAGAGAACTTCGACGAGGCTGCTGCTGCTGTGCTCAAAACGGTCGCCCCCTTTTCTCTACCATCCGGACTAAAGGAGGTGTTTGAGTACGAGCACAAGGGCCCTGTACGTTGCGACGTTCCCGCAGGTTTTTCCTTGGAAAAGACCATGTCTGCTGACACGATGCTTATAGATTCAAGAAAGGCCAACATTCTGGATCATCGCGGACGCGGTCAAGGTCTTCTATACTAACCACGGCTCCCTGCCCCTTCCGGGCAATGTTCCGGACATGAAGGCCCAGTCCAAGGTCTACGTCCAACTCCAGAACATCTACAAGGCCAAGGCTCGTAAGGACGCAGCCGAAGTCTTGCAGACGGCACAAGCGATTGCGGGAACGGGACGAGAGGTGGATCCTGCAGAAGTGGACCTCTTCTGCAAAAACGCAGCATTCGTCAAGCTGATTAATGTAGAGGGTGGAGGAGACACTGCCCCTCTTGGTAGTAAAGAGCGGCTTCAACAGGTGCTTCGTAAGTTCATCTCGCCTCTTTTGGTAATGGGTGGAATTCCGTTGTATCCCTCACTGCAACCGCGGACTTCATCATGAGCTCCTAGCCCCGGGAAGAAGATGGGGTACCAGAATGGTATACTGAATCGTTGTAACAGGACAAGAAATGGCCAACGACCAAGTCGCGGAAATGACATTACAGCCCATGTCGCTCTTCCCCATTTACCTGGCTCTGAGGGGTCTGGCGCATTGTGGCAACGCATCATCCGACAAGACGCAGATCGTCGAAGCCGTCAAGAGCTTGCTCTCCGACAATCTGTCAAGCGAGGAGTACGGCGACCTTAACGAGAAGCTGGGGAATGTTGCAGAGGATCTTGCCCGAGCCGAATACGGCGAGCTACACAACATCTCCGCACTCACGGGTGGTATGGTGGCTCAGGAGATGATCAAGATCATCACTAAGCAGTACATCCCCATCGACAACACGTGCGTGTTCGACGGGATCAGGAGCCGAACTCAGGTCTTCCATGTGTGAGAAATGAGGAAGAGGGGGTTGAGGCAAGTGAGGAAATGAGAGGGGACCGTGGCCGAGCAATACGCCTCTCAGTTCTGAAAACAAGGGGGGGGGGGGGGGGGGGGGGGAAGAGGCAGTGTCGAAGGCGGCGACCTGAAGGAATTAGGAATGGATGGGTGGGTGGGTGGAGATCAACAGAAAACTTGAATTGGCTCTGGATTCAGCTGGGGCCCAGGCCCAGTTCCGATCCCTGATCCGCTTGTCTTGATGGAAGCATCGACGAAGGCCGACAATCATGATGCGGATGCAAGTCCTTTTCCCGCTTGGCCAGTAGCAGCCAGCGCTTGCTTGCTGACTCATTAGAAGGAGGCGAAAATAAACAATCAGGACATGATCAGGGACATTTATGGAATAGACGAGCGTTGACGAAGCAAGGCTAACACGCGCTGCCGGGGGGCTTGGAAGCTGGCTGGGGGTGTGCTTGCCAAGGCAATAGGGATCTCGAGTCTCGACTCGAAGATGATCGCGCGTTGGTACCAGGATAATGGTCAGGGGATCTAGAAGAGATGGAGCTTGCAGACCTCATGCCACTCGGCTCTTTCCCTTACTCGGGAAGCACAGTGAAATAGAATTGATAGCGAAAAAGCAAAGTTCGAAAGTAGCGTTCAACAAGTAGACAAACTAGAAAGAACAGACAGGAAAATGAGAAATAGGAAACAGAACAGGCGAAAAAGCTTTGGGCTATAACGTACCTACATTTCTACATGAAGGGGGATGAAACGTCGAACGCACCTGTCAAATGACTTCGTGTCATTGTTGGGTCAAAGTCTAATCAAGGCTTGATGTGATTCTTTGCAGGCGTTTTTAACCCTGTTTTCATCTACTGTGGCAGGTCTCGGTGAATCTGTGTCTTTCTGTGCTTTACCATATTGTTATCCGGTTCTTGTGCGTCATTCTATGAGGTAATGCCCAAGGCCGTTCACACAGAAGTCTTTGGATATGATTCAAATACATGGTTGACAATGAATATTGGGAGTTCCTAGGATAGGATGCACTTTCAGGTCGGGCAAGCAACTAGCCCTTGTCTGCAAGATGCCCCCCTTGATCATGATCAACATGTTTTCTTCTTCTTAAAATTTTTCCCTGTTTCCGACATGAAGTCATCAGCATCCATCATCTATCATTAGAAACTATTTCAGGCACGGTAGCATGCAGATTTCGGCCTGGATGGATGGATGAACGATACACTATATGGACGAATGGAGGCTGTTCATTTCGCGCTTCGGACCGCGGGTCATGCTCCCCCGAACGCTCAATGCCACCTCACAGTCTCATTGGCATCGTAAGGTGCATAAGGTGAAGGCTACAAAGGCACACACCTTATGCCTGTGGATCTTGCGGTGTGCTGGGCGATAACGAGAAGACTGCTTTGGGTAGGTGAGAGTGAATGTTATTTTGTGAACGTAAGAGTTCTCTGAAAGTTTTATCTCTTTCTGTAAATTGTAGTGTAGCTGTGATCCAAATTCTACTCTCTCATTTGTTCTCATTTTTGCCTTCGGACCCGGGGAGGTATGTGGGAGGGACCATCTCGCACAAGGCTCACTTTGTGCTAGTGCAATCTCATATGCTGCCATGTGGCAACGTTTAATGTGAGGCTCTTTTGTTTTGTTTTCCACTATCTCGTCACACACAGGCACGGTGAGGGGAGACACTACACTAGGTGATTCTTCCGAGATGGTCTACGACATGACATGAGCCTCTCACTAGGAAGGAGCATCATGCTGGGATGATGTAGGAACATATGCATGGTAGTTCAGCCTATGGTTTGTTTATTTGTTTGTTAGCGCGATTCTTGTGACAGGGGTCTGCAAAAGTACACAGAAAACGAACACGATGACCAGGCTCGACATGGCGGATGGGACAGAGGGTGTGTATAAAATGGCCGAGACGCATCTGGTTGATGCTGATTTCTTGCATGAAACTTGATGGAATCGTTTGCAGAGTGGGTGGTGAACAAGTCCCGCGCTAACGAACAAATCAGGCTGCACATCGACCTACTCCACTCATGATTGCATCTTCAAGAATCAGGTACAAAGGTACACGCCGGCGAATCGTCGGGCTGGGCGCCCGATATTTGCGGATCACCGTTGCAATGCTAGACAGCCCTCACGGAACTTTGACAGTTTTGTTCCGATACGTACCCCTTTACAATAATGTACTGTAGTGTACAAGTGGTTGCGTGTGAATAAAAGGTGTTGTTCATCAAGGTACACCGTGGTGTAAGCTGTGGACTGGATGTTATCCGTGCATTTCTTTCTGGTTTTGAGCCAACACTCCAAGGTAAAGGAACGGAACATCGAGAGCCCCATACAGAAACCACACCACACTAGTCCTATAACGGGACCGGTACGAGCCCAGTGTAGGATAACTAACAAGGTGAAGGTAAAGACCTAGGCAATGAAGTATGTATGGAAGTCTGTCGAGGAAGTGACCTGACCTGGCCTGTCAACGTCCATGCGATCCACCCCGAGCGGGCGGGCTTGATGGATATCATCAGATCGCCCGGCGGACGAGGGTTGCGGACCTAGCCGGCGGCGGCTGAAGGAATCACAAAAGCTTGAAACACGCCGACTTGCAACAGGAAGGAATATTCACTCAGCGCTGCTGTTTCAACCAATAGAGGACCTCTGATCCTGAAATGAACGGGAGCGATAGTAGTGTAGGAGTGTGTTTGTTTCCCACTTACCCATTCCACAAATGTGAGACAGGAGTCGGCAAGGCAGCTTGGCAGTAAGGAAAGCTGGGCGAGCTTCCAGAAGCACCTCCTGATTCGCCAAGGTACACTACCTACACTAGCCCAGGGCACTAGTGTACACTGGGCTAGGTCCATGGTACGGGCAGGGTTAAGAAGAGACCCACCAGGCCGATCGGGAACAGACCGCTGGGCTCAACGGTCCAAACCATCCAGCGGTTTGAGTGAGGCGCTTGGATGGAACCTTTGTAACATATTTGTTACCTACGTGTAGTTGCCAAAGCAGGCTGATACGAAGGTACCTAGGTATCGCCGGCTTGAGAAGTACCTCTGCCGAGACGCTAATAGGAACTTCGCATAAGCCACTGAACGCTCCCCATTCGGAGACTTTCAGCGCTGAATTGCTGTTCCGAGCCGCCCGAAACCTTGCGCTCTAACGGTGCAGCGAAAAGATACCTTGGGGATGACCCACTCTCTTCCCAGAATGTGCTTGTCTTGCGACTTGGCAAAACTGGACCAATCAGACAAAACGTATCATTGGATGTCACGCTAGCTGGATACCTAAACTCAAATCCCTTCCTGGATAGACTAAACATACTCTTTCGAAGTGTAGACTTTACTGGACATACTATCAAATCTATATTATTTAAGAAGCTATCCAGAAAGCTTATAAGATTATAAACAATGGTAATGCTGTATCTATTTAATTAAATTCAAAGGCTACTCTCTGTATAAGTTTTACATACTATACAGTGTGAAGTTTTAGAGAAATATTGGATTTATCCTCTGCATCTTATACCTTATTATAGTCTATCAAGTATTTGAGGAGTGATGCTCTAGTGATGAAAAAAGTATACAATGGTAATGACAGTAACAATAATGATGATGGTGATAGTAGCAGCAATGATAATAGCAATGGAAGAAGTGATAGTTTCAAGTTAATGATAGTACTTAAAGAGCGTACCTACGCACGAATGTACTTAGTTAGTACCTGGTGAGGTTCGGACGCAAGTGGGAACTAGTGATGAGCTGCATGTCTAGAAAAGTAGGTTTTGGTCTATCCAGGGAGAGGTTTGAGTCTATCCAACTAGCGTTAACGTGTGAACGTTGTCAGACCAATGCATCAACATCATCTCGGACCTCGTGGCAGGCCAACCATCCTCCATGCACCTGCACTCATTGGTTTTCGGAAGGGTGGACGCTTTGCCGCGCCTCAGAAGCAACTGTCAACATACCACTCTTCCTTTTTCGATTCCTTTAATCTTCAGACTCCCGTGATCGGCAATCGCGCCTCATGGAATCAATGCAAAGCCTACAAGGGGTCGATGCAGTCCTTAGGTTCTGCATTCAAGGCGGGCCGAAACGGAAAAGCGGACGCTAACCTGATGGATAACCTGACTCTGCACCACCAGACGACAGGATGAACGTCTCGGTTCGGTGACCCTCGACCGAGGACCGGCACTGATGTACTTGTAATCGGACAGCCACAGTTTCATCCTCCATCAGCGGCTTTTCGGCAGCAGTCCGGCGGCGCCATAGTGTAGGCCACCTCTATGGTAGACTTTTGGCCGGGTGACCAGGGGATCAGTACACGTCTTCAACCCCAGAGTCTCGTCAGTTACATATCAAGTATCACGACATGCCGCACTCCAGGCCCCCAGGTTACTTTGCAGCTTATCAACAATCAAGATAGGCCGTACCCTCAGAATCGTCGTCAGCTATGTATCGAGACGACAGCCAGAATGCAACTGGATGACTACCACAGAAGACTGCCTGCCATTCGTGGCCAGGACCATGGTCTCGGAAAAGCCGAGCCGAGAGCAACGTAAGGCGGGGCCTCGGTAGGTTCCATTGTACACTACAGGCTCGCTTGCCGTCTTTCCAGAGCTTCGATGCGCATCTGGTTGGGTGGTGGAAGTGTGGGGAAATCTTGTACAGTACGTCCGCTCTAACACTACTCGCTCTACTCTAATATCAAAGGGGAAAGAGCCAAGAAAACTCGAAACGCTTGCCCTCTGTGACCCTCCCTCCCTGGGCCTCTCGGCTTTCCACTTTTAGGCTTTTTTTTTTTTTTTTTTTTTTTTTTTTTTTTTTTTTTTTTTTTTTGGCGTGTCAAAATCTCTGCTCCACGAGTTCGACACGAGGCGTCAAAAGACGGCAGGCTCATCTGGACGCCCATGGTCTGGCCCTCCAGTTCCTCGCATCCACAAATCGAGTCCCTTGTGATCTCGCTTGTCTGCAAGAGTCGGCATTCCATCAGTCATTCTACCACATCCATATCTCCGCCCGGGACTCATACCCAGCAACTCCAGGGCATCCAGGGCATCGACCAACAGACGTCACATCCGATCAGACCGCTGGTTCTCGTGTACCCGCCGGCGTTGACTCTCGCCTGGCCATCAACCGCAAAACGGCGAGACTCCAAGTTCTTCCGGATCGTCATGACAATCGCTGGACTATCACGACCGCCAACTGCTACAACATGTGGTAGTACGCCACCTTTCAAACCAAGCACGCCAAGTTTGACACTGCGATGGAGGGGACAGAGCTTCCATTTTCCCCCTGCTGTTGCCCCACCCGTCGACCCGTTGACAGCTCCCCTCAGGCGCCTAGGGCCTTGACCAAGCCAAATGTGCCCTTGCCTTGCCCCTCTGCCACCCAAACGGCATTTGAGGTGCTAGACGGACATCTCTCGGCTACGCAACTGTTTCGTTTCAAGCGGCTGCTGGCGAGCTGCACAGCCGGTAACCACATCTATCCTGCTATGTACTCCCATCTTATTACCACCATGCTCTCCGTCCATTGTTAGCTCGGTACCTACTTACAGGGGGTCTCAACCAACAGGTGTTCGAATCCCTTCTATCAACTCTTTCTCACCTTGAAATCAGCTGATTCCAGCCAATCAGATTGTGCAGATAGACGTGTTCTGCCTTGCAAGCCCCCCTGTCACCCCCCCCTTGTACTTGTAAGAAAACATGAGGCGCGTCCGGCGCTAACAAACGTTCGAGTATCGATGTAGACTACTATGCTGTACACTACCATAGACTTTACCCTCACGCTTGTCCAGTGGACGTGATATCTACCCACCGTTCCCATGGCGCTTTGCGGTGAGCAAGTCCTCCAGTCAAGCGCCTGCGGACCTTGTCGTCTCCAAAGTTGCAATATGATGACGACTACGGTTGCGTTGCTCTCGCCAAGGTGCCGCGGGCGGTAGCCAAGAGACTCAGTCTCTCCTTACCTTGTCTTCACAAACTACATATCATCTTTACATGAGCACACTTCTGAACGCGCTTTCCATCTCAATAGTCTACGGGTGCGCTGTTTCCCATCTCTCGCTTGTCAATGTGCTTGGTTCTCAGCCCCCATGCGAGCCCTTTGATAGTTCATAACATGATGACCTTCAAGTTGGGAAAGAATCATGAGGCGACCAAGATGGACTCTTGCGAGATAAACCATATGCAGAGTGGCCTGTAGGATGTTGTGAGGTAGGCAAAGTTCCCTTTTTCCATTGTTCAGTTCTTGGTCCAATGTTCTTCTCGCTACTTGCCTCAGAGCACAAAGACTCACCTTGCTACAGTAACTTCAGTTCTCAAAACCTAAATCGTCTAGAATATACTCGCGCATCTTCGACTTACCCAATGCTAGACGACATTCAGACAGTCTGTTGAGCCGGTTTCTTCACAAAAGAGTTTACAATAACACCGTGACCTCTCTTTTCCTGTAACAACTTGAGCATTACTTCCATTTGCCTTTATTGACAAACGACACCGGAGTGCCGACCTCCAGCAGTGATTGGCTAAATCCAGGCTGGAAGGGTTAACCAGCAACCCGAAACCTGTTGGAAGGATCTTTTACACTAGCTTGAGGAGGCTGTTACCTCCGTTTTGTTAGCGCGTTTCCTCCGTCTTCTGGCTCCGTTCCTTTCACGATTCCTCTTCTACTGTAACTGCCAAGTTCCCACTCTCACTCTAGCTTCATCCACCCCGGCGAGCCCGGACCCCACCCCTGTCTAGCCCGATCGGACGGGAACGTGTAGACGTGTAGGGACAGAAATCGTAGCAGAGATCCACCATCATGCTGAGGTTCGCTGAAGACGGGGGGAAGGAGAAGGAGGGGGGGAGGGGGACTGGAGTGACGAACAGCTTTTCTTCCCCACAAGCGGCTGGCACCAAGGCAATAGCTACACACCTACCTCTCTACGTATTTACCTTCATCATCTCAACCTCCAGTCAAATCGTCGAGTCAATATTGGTGCCGACGGCCCCATCTTCCCCTCTCTCCAACACCAACGTCCTTCACACCACACCACCACACGGCCCCCTACAGAGATCTTCGCTGTACATACAAAGCACGTTTCACACACGTTCACTTCCACTTCGCGCAACAGCTTGGTCAACGGTTCAGGGTCAAGACGAATCGGATGACTTGATGCTTTGCTTCAAAAAAGGGGCAAGAGTGAGTGCTTGGAGGGTTGTGACCCCTCTGGGTCCTCATCTCGCATCGCCGTGATTCTCGTAACGAAACCTTCCCTAAACCACCTACAGACACAGCCGAGTGGCTTTAGCTTAGCGCATCGTTCAACTCTTGGTCAAGCGACGGACTGTTGAAAGCACCACTCACCTAACCTGACTCGGAAGCATACGGTGCCTGCGTCATAACCAGTGTAGAGAAGAGGTGTTAGAGACAACGCCCCCCGCCTACAGTCTGTGGGTCAAAGAGGTTGCTGTGAAAAGCAGTATGTACATACTTTGCGGTACCACCCTCTGTATACCCTCAGACCCCGGCTTTGGCGTTAAAATGATGCCACTGAGGAATGCCTGGGTGTTCTTCTTGACAGAGTCAGAGTACGTACTTCTTTCTTTCAAGCCATCAAGGGCCTGGTGGTGTCTGACTGGTAGGCCGTGCCTGGTCAACAAGCCTTGCCCCTGGATCCCCTGTTCTTCCTTAGCTTGATGTCACCCTCGAGTACGATAGACAAGTAGTCTAGCATCGAGATACCTCACTTGACAAGGTATACCGGCGCCCGAGGGCAAAGTACTGGAGTTGTGTACTCCCCGATCCTATACCTCCTTCACCCTGTCAACAAGATTGACGGGGCCGCATCCGAGTTTCTCCACATACAACGGTAGCATACCACCGGTCCCTTTCCAATCTTCCTCACCCCACAATCAGCTTTCGTCCCGTGAAACAGTGATGGTATGTTTCATTCCCTGGTGATTCTGGATACTCTTCAGAACAAAGGTGTACCATCGGGTGGAATAGTTCGGCATTTTATCACAACCTGGGGCTGAGGCTGAGGTGAAGTGCAATGGATGAATTCCCAACTCGGTTCAATGTAAATATATAAATTTGCATATGCTCCTCACGGTCTCGGCCACCCCCTCATTGTTCCCCCAGGGTCTGTCTTTAGTTTGTTTATTATTGGCGAGGACAAAATATCAACCTTAAGCCCACACAAGGTTTTCGCTTCCTGTGATCAAGGTTTCGCCACTGTCACGAACTCGCCGGTAGATATTCGGGCCTTGCTTGGCAACCCATACATTTATACCTTCTCTGTGGCTGCGAGTGGCTTACCAGCTTTCCGCAAGTTGTATTCCCATTCAGACAGCCTCTGATCAGCAAAGCGTCCATAATGGCACCGTCAATGTCGATACCTACACAAGGCGGCATGTTTCACACATGTAAGTTTGATGACCTTTTCCAACCAAGGGGTCCATTACTAATGAGCAAATCCAGTCCAAGGAGTAACACCACGAAAGCCGGCCGTTGACTCTCGAGATAGTGTTAAGTCCAATGGTAATGGGGCAGCCAAGAGGATAACTACTCCTCATGCTTGTGCTGAGTGTAAAAGACGGAAGATGTAAGTCAATGCGTGTCGATCAGCCTCACCATCAATCTAACTTGAGTGCCCTAGTCGATGTGATGGTCAACAACCATGTGGCCAATGTCTCTCAAGCCGAGCACCGAAACGTTGTTTCTACGACAAGCACCGCCAAAGGGTGATTCCATCGCGCAAGACACTAGAAGCCCTCTCCCAGTCCCTCGAAGAATGCCGATCGATTTTGAAGCGACTGTATCCTCACCAAGAAGTCCACGCCTTACTTCCCTTGTCCAGGCAAGAACTCCTCAACCTCCTAGATCGACCCGTCCCGGACAGCACAGCGAACGGACTACCGTCACCTCCTCTAAACACAACACCGATGGCCGACTCAGAGACACCAACGAAGTCTGAAAACATATTGGAACAGATTCCCACTCGGGATACAGAATGGGACGAGGAACGCCGGGAGAGGGACCACATCCCTGTAGAGGCGGACGATATCAACGCGCTGTCACTCTCGGTGGACAGACAAGCTTCTTATCTTGGAGCCTCGTCCATCAAGGCTGCCCTTATGGTTATGCTCAAGGTTCAACCAGGCTTGAGGAGCTCCTTGGCCGCCCCGCTCAACAGTATCGAGATTTCTCATAACTTCCCGGCCATCAGACAGAAATCATCGACTCAGAAAGATCCCCAGCGGATCCCATGGTCATGGAAGGGACAGACACTTATCGATGCCTACTTCAAGCGAGTCCACGTCTTCATCCCAATGCTCGACGAAACAACTTTCCGTGCCGATTACCTTGAAGGTCAACGATTTGACGCACCGTGGTTAGCCTTGTTGAACATGGTATTCGCCATGGGTAGCATTGTGGCAATGAAGTCGGACGATTACAACCACGTCAACTATTACAACCGCGCCATGGAGCATCTTCCCATGGATTCCTTTGGCAGCAGCCATATCGAGACTGTCCAAGCATTGGCACTCATCGGCGGTTACTATCTTCACTATATTAACCGACCCAACATGGCCAACGCTGTTTTGGGTGCCGCCATCCGCATGGCGAGCGCTCTCGGTCTTCACCGTGAGAACCTTGCCCAAGGAGGAAGTGATATGGTCGCTGCCGAGACCAGGAGACGCACATGGTGGGCTCTTTTCTGCCTCGACACCTGGGCCACGACAACCATGGGGCGTCCCTCTTTTGGCCGTTGGGGACCCGCCGTCAACATTCGGCCTCCCGAGTTCGGTGTGAATGCCGGTCGGGACTCGTCTCAACACGCGGGTATTCTCCCCATGATTGAAAACGTCAAGTTCTGCAAAATCGCCACTCAGATCCAAGACATGCTCGCCATTTCTCCTTTGCTGCGTACCGAGGACCGCTGCAATCTGGACGGGCAGCTCGTTGTCTGGTACGAAAACCTACCTTGGCTCCTGCGCACGACCGACCCATGCGCTGAGCCGCTCTACATGGCCCGCTGCATCATGAAGTGGCGGTATCAGAACCTTCGTATGCTTCTTCATCGCCCAGTCCTCCTCTCCATGGCCTCATCAGGTCTTAACCCACATACTCAGGCCTGTGACTCGGATCTCGCCGCCATTGAGACGTGCCGAGAGCTTGCTGCGGCGACCATTGAGGACATTGGTCGTGAATGGACACGTAACCAGATGTCCGGCTGGAACGCAGTGTGGTTTCTCTACCAAGCTGCCATGGTTCCTCTTGTCTCCGTTTTTTGGCAATGGGGCAACCCTCGAGTCCCTGAGTGGCTCAAGCAGATTGAGGCGGTATTGGAGCTCCTTGAGGCCATGGAAGAGTGGTCACTTGCTGCTCGCAGGAGCCGGGAGGTGGTTCTTCGCATGTACGAGGCCAGCAGAGTCATCCAGGCACAGGGTGCCGCAGCGCACCAACTACAGCAGAGGGGATCGCAGAGCCCTCATTCTCTCAGCAGCACTACTGCATCCTTGGGCAGCATGCACATCAACAACGACTTGCTCATGGGGTCACCGGGTTCGGCGGAGCTCTACATGACTCCCATCGACCTGGAGCCCGTCGAAGGCTTGGGCATGACGGGTGTGCTGGACCACGGCGGGATGTGGGATCTCGACGGCATGTTCTGGGGTCCCAGTCCAAGCCCGTCGGTTCACCATGGTCACCACTCGACTCACCCGGATGATGCGGTACCCACGGTGGCGGAGTACGCTGC